TTAAGCCTTTTACACTTCTTTTTAAGTAGAGATGTTTTAGAATTACTTTATAAAAGCATCTAGTTTCCCTCTATCTTAACTAAAATAATAAGTAATCTTAAAATTAAAATAAAATAAGTATTTAGACTAATAAGCTTGTTAGTAGCTAAGTTATTTTATAGTTACAAAGTACTATAAGTTCTTATAGTTAAATAGAACCTATATTAGATGCGCTACACCTTCTAGTTTAGGTTGCTATTGTTTAAAGTAGTGTACTATAGCAAGTAATTTTTTATTATAGATCTTATAATTACTTTCTATAGAACTTATTCTTTTTAAAAAGTATATAATAGGCTTAATAGTTCTATCTAGCTTAGTCTAGAAAAGAACTTCTGCTACTATATAGTCTAAGGCATTAGCTTTTATAAGTATTAGTAGTTTAAAGTTAAAGTAGTAAAGTATTAAAGCTTTAGTAAAGGCTTTTTTTAGCTAGTTAAAGAACTATTAGTAATTTAGGTTAAAGTTAAATTAAACCTTTTTTTTAGTAAGTGTAATTATAAAGCTTACTAGCTATAAAAAGTTGTTAATAAATTATTAGTAAAAGTTAGTAAATTTTATAAAGGCTTAAACATTTTTTATATTCTTTAAGTATTACTAATCTAGTATAGTTTAAACCTTAACAAGGTCTATTTAGATGCTATCTATAGAGATTACATATCTTAAATATGTAACCTTTAATTAGTAAAACTTACATTTATCTATGTTAAGTTACAGACCTGCTTCTTCTATAGCCTTTAGCACTAGGCGTACATGCTGTTTATGCTCTAAAAGGCTATTACTATAAATTAGAATATTATTAATATACGCAGTGCAGAACATGTCTAGGTAGAGTTAGAGTAAGTTGTTTATAAAATGTTAAAAAGTACTAGGCGTGTTAGCTAAGCTAAAGAGCATTACTAGGTACTTAAATAGTCTATATTAAGTCTAAAACACTATTAGCTACTTATTACCTTTTACTATTTTTAGCTTATTAAAGGTAGTAATAATATCTAACTTTATAAAATACTTTACTTTACTTAGTTAGCTTAGAGTTTCTTATAAAAAAGAAATTAAGTATTAGTTTTTAATAGTAATAGTGTTTAGTCTTTAGTAGTTAATATAAAATTAAAGCTTACTTTTAAGTTTCTTTATAAATAGTATAAGTAACACTACTAGTAAGAAGCTAGCTTAAATAAACTTTTTTTTAAGTTCTTATTAAGGTATTTTTAGAGCACTTTTAATTTGTTTAGTAACATTTTATATAGTAGCCTATAACTAGGTTATTTACTAGGCTTAAAGGTTATCTAGTAATTATATAGATGTTATATTAAAAGCTTATTAGACTTATTTTAAAAAAAAACATGTAATAAGTTGTAGTAGTCTTAAAGGACTATTATCTTTAAGTTAGTGTATTTTTAGGGAGCTAAAGCTTAGTCTATATTAGAAATTATAACTATGTAGATTTTATAATCTAGTTATTAAGCTAGAGTTATAAATAAGGCAGGTTTTATGTAGTAAATGTCTATTTACTATTTAAGTCCTAGTTTATGTTTAAATTAAGTAGGTAAAGGTTTTTTAAAAGCTTTTTTTTTTAAGTTTAAGTAGTTATTAAATTATTTTATATAGCCTATTTTAGTAAAAGGCCTAGCTTATTAGCCTTACTTAAGTAGTTTTTTTTTAGGTTATTAAAAAGTAAGTTTAGAAACTTTTTATATTAAGTGCTATTTAAGTGTTATTTAGGTGTAAGCATAAGCATATATCTTAGTATTAGAAAAAGTTAAAGTTTAGAATTTACTTTTAGTAATTAAAAGCAACCTTATGCTAATACAGCTATAGTTGTTCTAGAATTAGGTTATAATATTTTATGTTTATTACATAAAGCTTAATCTGCTTCTTATAGTGTTAGTAGGTAATTATAATAGTTATAGTATAAAAAATAGAACTTTTTTTAAGTTATTTTTTATTAAATCTAGTTAAGTAAATTATTTAAGTAAGTAGTGTTAATTAAAGATTTAGTTTACACGCTAGTTCTTTATTAATATAACCTATGCTGTTTACTTTTAAGTTAATAAGAGCTTATATTAAAGCTAATATAGTTTTTTATTATAAATATATAAAAATATTAACTTAGTACTTTTAGTTATTAGTAAGAGACTTAGCCTATAAGTTAGTAAAGATCTAGTGTTAAATTAGTCTTAGAGAGTAACTTAGCCCTAAGACAAGCCTTTTTGCAGGCTTCTACTGCTATAGCTGCAGCTACATTAAGAGTAGCAAAAAGAATTAAGGCTTAAATACAAGTTAAAGCCCTTATAAAAATAAAATTAAAATAGTAAAGATCTTTAATAAGTGCTAGTAGCACTACTTGTGTAGACTTAAAAAAAGGGAATAAAGTAGTTTTAAAAAATATAACTATGCTTACTATACTTAAAGCATTAACTTTTTTTCTTATAATTTTTACACTTTTTAGAACTAACTAGAGCATAATTTAAATTAATTTTTATTATGTTAAAGTCTTTATTTATAACTGCGCTAGTTTAGGGGCGTATTAGGGCTTGTATAGGGAGGAACCTTATGTTATTATTATAAGTAGTAATTAGGTTTGCATACGCGTTAAAGTTGTTTAGAAGGGGTTCTTCTACTATAGCATGTTACAGTTTAGTTAAGAAGGAGTTATATAAAGCTATAATTAAACCTATCTTATTTAGGCCTATATTAAATGCAAGTTAGTAGAACTTAGTAAAGTGTAAAGTAAAGCTTTTTTTTTTTATTATAAAGTGTTTAGGTAACTTAAAGCTGTTAACTTTTTATTTAAGTCTTTATAAGTTACTTATAAAAACACTATAAATTAATCTAAGTTAATAATATTTTTATTTATTAGTAAGTTAATTAAAGCTGTTATGTTATAGTTAAGTTAAAAGTAAGTATATAGTAACTAAAAGTGTTTAAAGAGAAATTAGTCTATGTTTCCTTTAAGTTTATATTAGAGCTTATGTAAAAAGAAAAGTAGGTCTTTCTATTTTCTATTAAACAGTAAGGGATTAGAGAGTTAGTTAGATTTTATTACTAAGTTAAAAAAGTTATAAGTTATAGGCAGTATTAGGTAAAAAAAAGTTAAGCTATCTCTAGACTTTTAAGTAAGCTTTAAGGCTAGTAAGTTCTTAGTTCTTACTACTATAATAAAAGTTAAAGTAGAAATAAACTACTTAATAATATAAAGCTATTTTTTAAAGTTTTTTTAAAAAGCTTTAAAGCTTATAACATAGTAGCTTTTTTATAAAGTAAGCGCTTTTTAAAAGGCTTTTTAGCTTACTTTAATAGCTTAAAGTTATATAAGTACTAAGCTTATTAGATTAAATTTAAAGGCTATTCTTAGCTAAAGTTTTAACATAATATAATGTTATAATTATGTATAAGTAAGGTTATAGAGCTTTATAAAGGTCTAGTTTAATTACTACATAAGGTATTATAGTAGGTATAAGATATTATGTAAAGAATAAAAAAGTTTAGAAGGAAATTAGTAATTAAATACTTAGCTTAAAAGTCTAAGCGCTTTAGGTATAAATTAAGCCTGTTTTAAGTTTAGTTAGTGTTAAAGCAGTTTATGCTTAAGTTTATGTCTGTGTTATGTTGTGTTTATGTTAGACGTGCACTAATAATACTCTAGTACGCGTCTAATACAGTTATGTCTGGGATCCAGGGAGGATACCGTGACATAGCCTTATATTACATAGTAGCAACTATACTTTATTTTTAGCTATAATTACTATAGTTTTAAACCTACTAGCGCTATTATAAGGCCTAAATTAATAAGGTAACTTAGTTAATAAAGATAATCTTTACATAGTATATAAATGCTAAAGATAAAAATAAAAATAAAAATAAAAATAAAGCTAAGGCTTTATTTCTAAAGTGTTATAAACTACTTAGTAGTAACTATTATAACATTAATTATAAAAACTACTTTACTATTAACCTCTTTCTTATAATAAATAAGCGCTTATATAAGTGTAAGAGGCTATTAAATAAGCTATAATTTTACTATAACACTATACACTTTAATCTCTATAAAAATTACTTATTACTACATAGAGATTCTTTATAGTAGTAGCTTACTAAAGGTAAATTAAGCTATTTTATTTTTTATAAAATTACTTTTAATTTTCTTACTATTCTAGCTATAAGCTATAAGTGTAAGAGGTGTTTTAGTGCTACTAGCTGTACTATAACTAATAATTATAACAACCTATTAGGTGTAATAATTAAGGCTATACAGCTGCAGAAGCACTAGATTAAACACTAAATAGTAAGAAGTAAGCTTCTAGCTCTAGCTGCTTACATTACTAGAGAAAATAGCCTTATAGAGAGCTATTAGGCCTTTAACTCTACCTCTTCTATAGTATAGCGTATTAATAGTTACAACGTACATTAATTGTATAGTACTACCTGTACAGCTTATTTTAAACAGTGCGGTTACTGTCTGTACAGCTGCCTCTCCTCCTCACGACCGTACGTACGTACAGGCAATCTCGTCCGTACAGGCCTCAAAATCTCCTAATCGTACAGTAGTACGGACTGTTGGGCACGCTGATCCCAAACACACCACATAATCCTATCCCTTAACATAGCGCTACTTCTGCGCATTCCCATGATTCATACCAAACATGGGCGGATAGTAAGATGCATACCCACTCGCCGTACAAATCATATCATAGCAATAAGTACGTAGAAACTGCCGCGCTAGCTGATGGAGGATTGGTCCTAGAATGCGTAGCAGATTACCGGGCCGAAGGCGTTCAAGAGGATCAGCCAGAGATAGCTATACGCGTTTGCGAGGACGCGGTATTTCATAGGGACAAGTTTACCGGCGGCGTTGACGAAGGAGAGCTGGACGGAGGAGCCGAGGCCGATGAGGGTTTCGCCGGCGATCATAGCTGGGGTTTTGGGCGCAGTTGCGCGGACAAGGGAGCCGAGGAAGGCGAGGAAGAAGCTGAAAATGAAGAACTATCAATGGCCGAAGATATCTAGTTGTGTGTTAGACGGTATCTACTTGTCTAAGTTTGGAGTTGGGGATTCGGCGAAAAGATAAGGTGAATATACACACCAGTCAGCCTTCCAACAATCATCAATCCTACAGCCTGTTGATGTATATGTCAAATCAGCCCATGTCAAATCAAGACTAGGTCCAATTTCCTCATCCATAAAGCTTAGAATCGGAACAATGAATGATAATCCAGCAACGCCGCACATCACACTCATTCCGATGGAAAACATTGAGCCCCAAAAGTACGGCGAGCGGAAATAGCCATTTCGTAGATCGATGTCGTCGATTGAGAAAACTTTACCGTTGGCATCAACTTCGTTTGGTGTGGGTTTGGACTCTTAAGTTGGAGGTAGAGAGGACATGGCGAGGATGTAGTGAAGCTTCACGGAGAGTTTCGGAACTGATTATAAACTGTGGCGCATATTAAGCTTTTCGAGGTTGAATATCGTGCAGATCCACCGCCGCTTTAATTCTGGGACCTTTGCCAAATGATGCATGAAATACAGTCTCCCAGCGCGTATCTCGATTCTGTTGGAGGCAATATCCAAGCAATTTATCCAACATCAAATATAGACACTGTTAGAGAAAGCAAGGCCTTTTCACAATACACCTTACTCCAGTACCAGACCTTCCACTCCCCAAGGCCACTCCCTCAAATTCTCCCCCATAGCCTGACACTCAGCAGCCAACCCATCATGGTATTTTCAAACCTCATCCCGTCTCAACCACTAGCATCTGCTCTGCAGGATAATGGAAATCTGGAGTCCCACTCTGGTTTCTGGAGAGTACCGGGGTGAGGCTGAAGCATTTGTACTGGCTCGGTTCAGTCGCAGAACGAAAATCCACCAAGCTAGGCAAGTCCAAGGTAGATACAGTCTATACATACAAGTTAATGATGGAAGCGAAACAAAACTGCAAGGCAACTAGAGAAGGGCAATAGTAAATTAGGGATAGATCACACAGCCCTATATCTCCATGACTATACAACCATCCCAGTTCTTTTCGCAAGATCATTATCCGTATGAAGTGCAAAGTCATACTACAACGCCCAGCTCCGTACTAGTCTCTCTGAAGGAGAGCTATTGTTGACAGTCCATCCATTCATCAATTACATCCTAAAATCCACCCACACAGCAATCTCAACCCCGAAACATCACCACAGCGCAGCATCCTTATCAAACCTAACAAGCTCCTTTCCGCCATCCTCGACATCTTTCCGTGCCTTCATGCGCATATAAAAAATTGGACAATCTCTACTCGAACAAATAACTTCGCAATGGATACTCCCCTGGCATCTCTGACATTGAGTCCACAGTCTAGCGAATCGAATTTCCAACTCGCTAACCTTCGAAAGCGTCTTCTGGTAAAGCTCTCCGATACGCGGACGACAATTTTCGCAAACAGCACCGTCTTTCTCGGCGGCGCTGACGAGCGGTTTCTTGCACCCCATACAGGTTTGCGTTTTCTTAGCAAATTTCATGAGTCCGCCCATAGTAGGTGCAGCGACCGAAATTGAGCGTGTATGCGCCCCCGTGAGCAGTTGGCCGGCTTTCTTTTCACCGAGAATAGGCTCGAAGATACGACCTAGGGGTTTGGCGAGCTGGTTTTCGAGGTAGTATTTTGTGTCAATGGGAATGTTGTTCTCCAAAACGAAGATGGGATCCTCGGACTTTTCGTAGTTCTTTGAGCCGCCTGCGCCCTTTACGATTACATAGGCGACACGGTCCCCAAGTGCAGGGGCAGAGCCCGCATCACGCTTCCTCATACGTTCGGCAAGTTCGACGTGGGCTTGCTTTGCTGTGTAGGAGTCTTTGGCGTCCTTCTCTGAGGACTTTGTCAGAGCCTTTGTGATCACGAGATTGGACATGTCGATTTTGTTCTGAAGAAGGTCGGAGATGGTTTCCTTGACAAATCTAGATGGATTTAGCATGTGATATCTGAGCTGGTGCATGAAGGACTCACTCCTGTGCTCCATTGACGTCTCTGTCGATGAGCAGCATGCGAAGGGAGGTTTCAATGACAGTCTGGACAAGTCGGCAGTTGTCACGGCGAACGGTCTCGATGCCCTTCGTGTCCATTTTATCCCATTTGTTGGGATTGGTCCAGTATAGACCAGCATAGCGTTTTTTGTTGATGAGAAGGTACGGAAAGTAAACCTTCTCGAACTCAAGCTTAATGGGCTTGATAAACTTCGAGGAGACGAATTCGGCAGCTTCTTGTCCGAGCTCCATGGCTTTTGTAAGCTCGGTGGTCCCGAATTTTACCATCACTGAATCAGTATCACCGTAGATGACTTCAGCATCATGACTGTAGCCATTGATGACGGTATACTTGTGCTCTACTTCGTGCTTTGTCTTCTCAATCATCTGGCGACCGTAACTGGTGGTACTACTGGCGATAGCGAGACAGGGCAGTTTTCCAACCGTGGCTCCGGTGAGACCGTAAACGGAGTTAGCGCTGATTTTCAATGCCAACTGACGACCGTTCAGCACGGCCTTTTTGAAGGGATCCGTTTCAACCGCCAACTCCCTTTTAGCTCTCTTACGAGCACTCAACAACTCCTCCAGAATCTGCGAAAGAAGCCCTTTGCGTACTTTTGCCGTGCAGAAGAAATCACCGTTTGGGGTGACAATGTAATCCTCGTCTTTCTTCAGATTAAACTTCTCAATTAACTGTTTATTGAGCAGTGTGGTGTAGCAAAGGTTGTGCGCTTGCATAATACTCGGATACAGAGAAGCGAAATCGAGGGTGGCAACTGGAACATCGTAGTATCCACGTCTTGGTTCGATAACGGTGGCCCCTTCATACTGATCTTCTGAAGCTTGACTGCTAAGATCGGGAATGACGAGTGATTGTTCAAGAGCTTTGCGGAAAAGTTGGCTGATGAACTTCACTTGCTGACCACGGGCGAGGAGGTAGTTGAACGGAACTCCTGTGACTCTAGCCATCTCTGTGTAATTGACCAAGCACATAAGCTTATCGAGGAGTCGTTGGGGTAGATATGCATCCTTGAGACAGTAAACAGCCAACCGCCGTCGCGAATTTGCATCGCCGTTGTACAGCTCCGTGATCATACTGTGGTGGACGTCTTCTTTCTGTTCTTTCAGGAAATGAGCGCACACAGCGTTCAGGGTGTAGCTTCGAAGTTGATAATCTCGTTGAACAAGCTGTAGAAGGTCGAGCTGAAGACGGCCGTTGGTATTAGTCGCCCGGGTGTCTCGATTACCCATCTGCTTGCTGGAAAAGTTCGTCTTTGTTGATTTTGACGGTTCGGTCTTCAGGCGCGACCAATAAGGAAATTTTGGCAACTTCAGATATTCAGCACGTTCAAGAAGATACGGGAAGTCGAAGTTAGATATGTTATAGCCAATGATAACATCCGGGTCCACTTCTTCAAGGAAGTCTCGCCATTTCATAAGCATTTGCTGCTCTTTCTCGAAGGAAAATATCTGCGTCGCAACAATCGAGCTGCATGTATCCAGGCAAAAGACGTTTCGGACGAAGGGCTTGTCTTCTCCGGCTCTCGTGACGACGTTGGCGATTTGGATGACGGGATCCACCTTCGCTTCTGGGAAGATGCCTTTTCGACCAGCGCATTCTATGTCGAAGGAGAGGATGCGGAGGGGTGCCATCTTGGCCCATTCACCTTCAGCGGGATGGGATATGAGATCTCCAAAGTGGACTGACGCTTCGATCTGGCAGTTCGAGTGCCGGTCCCGAGGGTGAATCATCTTGTACTTTCCAGCAGGCACTTCGACCCAGGACATGCCAGAGATCTTGCAACGTCAGCTGTGCAGCAGAGGTGTGGCGGAAATACCTACCTTGGTGTCGATCATGAACCTCAGGACATATTGAATGTTGTCAAAGGTCAGAATTCCGTCTTCCTGGCATTTCCAGAGCTGTTTGTAGTTGGCGAATCCGTCCTGCACCGTCTTCCGCACCCGGTTGATGTTTCTCGGGTCGGTGACAGTGATCTTCAAGTACGGGCTCTTCTGGTTTCCTTGGAAGCCAAATATGTTCTCCTTCATTGTCATCTGGACCGACTGCACTGCAGCCCCGTACTGGGCGAACTGTTTGGCCACCTCACCCTCGAGGTAAATGCGGAAAGGATCACAGTCTTCCTTCTGAAATCCAACGGGGGCGGCGATGTAGAAGTAGTGCTGGAAGTTGGTGACGTGGAGGAGAACCGAGTGGCCCGTCTCCGTCACGCCAAAGAGCTTGATTGTGGTCCTCCCGCCGTGCAGATAACCCTCCTCAGCTTCGATCTGCTGGAAGCGCAGGTTGTCCCTCATGTCATCGAAGTCATGCAAGTCTGGCCGGGTCCATTGCTGGTCTCGCTCGGTGCTGTTCTGCTTGAGATTCTCGATGTCCTGTGTCATCTTCTCCAACACCTCTTCCTCGAACCGGCTCTTCGGCTGACTCGAGTTGAAGGAGCCATTGACGGATTTAATCGGCGTGCGTCCATTCTTGTAGAGGGATTGGTCTAGCTTGAGCTTCTTCGCGGAGCGGGGCGAGGGCTGGACATTGGCCCGGGTGTTGGTGCTTTCGGCGAGCACCCGCTTCATGGGTGTCTTGTGCACTGCGCCCGGCATCGTGAGTAGCAATTGTCCGAGCAGAAAGTATCGCAAAGAATCGGAGTGCGGTGGTGGTGTGATGAGGAAGGGAAGGGGTGGATGAGTGTTGGAACATCCACTGCCAAGCCAAGCTTCGTTGATGTCTGAACACGAAAAGTCGCGCCTGCGCGTTTGGGGCCGTGCTTACCCGTCACGCACGTGATTCTAGCCCGACCGTTCTACCGATATTATCACTGTCACACTAAGCATTAGCATGTCTCGACAACAAGTCAGAAACATGATCATTTATCCATAAGTCATTGCCTAAGGAATTCAATCTTCACATCCAAGCTTAAACCAGCCGTTACCCTCACGCTGTCCCCTCAGCTCTCACCTTCACTCTAAGCTCAGGTGCACCTCTCAAACTCAGACTTCCGCACTCTAGCTGCCCCCAAATATCCGGCAAGAAGTCCACTCTGGGCGCCTCTCCTCCAACATTCCAGACCCTAACCAGCACCACTACATCCCTCGGCCGCTCGCTACTCGCCGCCATATATTTCCTTGCCCTTTCAAATTCCTCGTTACTGAACACGAAATCGCTTGCCAGACCTCCAGTTGTTGTTTTCACCTCGATGTGGAAATTCGGTGGTTCTAAGAGCCACTCCTGAGCAGGGGAGAAGTTCTGCACTAGGTAGAGGTACTGCGTTAGGAGAGTGGAAGCGAGGCAAGTCGACGTATGTGGGATGGTGAAGGACGCGGTGAGCTCGTTGGGGGAGGTGTAGGCTGGGTGCCCACTGTGGATACGGTGGATGCTAGTCCAGTGTTTCGTGGGTTCATACCATTCGCGCGTAATCTCGCCTCTCGAATTACGGCTGCACAGAATCTGCTTAAGGGCATTGGAGACCTGGAAGGCTTGGTAAGCATATGTGGCTTCATGGTGGTCCTTGTGCCAAAACTTACAATGACTTCCCCTGCTGAAGCATGTTGCCTGTCGCGCGTGAACATCGTGTAGTCCGGCGACCTCCTCCGAAAGGGACCACGATTTCCAAATCCGAATACCCGCACGTTGTCGAGGTCAGGGAAGTTAAAGTCTTCAGAACCCGCTCGGTTTTGTCCTGAAAGGCTACGACCTATTGGAATTGGATCGCCTGCAGCGAACACACGGATTCGGTTTCGCAATTCATCTAGGAACAGTAAGCTCCTTCTAAACGAGCGTCTCGACGTCTACATACCTGGAAGATGGGCAAAGGGATTAAATCTACCTCGACCCCCACTGCTCTGATTGCTTCGCCTGTGTCTGCCTTCTCTGGGCTCATTCTCCGCATCCTCAAGGTCGTGGTCTGATAGGAGGGGTGGAATGCTGTTCGTGTCCAGAATCTCATTGATCTCACCGACCTGTCCCTCGTTGAGAATAAGCAGGAGAAGCGATTTACTATTGTTCCTGGAATCAGGGTCATTAGAGATGCCGCAAAAATCAGCAATTAATTCTGCAAATTCCCATCTGCAGCGAGCAGTGCCGAAGGAACTCTCTGAGAAGTATATTTTCAGGCCGTCGTCGTTAGCCGTCAGTGCCACTCGTCCATCTTGAGGTTCGCCAACTGTCTCGGCCCCGTTGAGCCAGATGGACCAATGTTGGACAACTTTCGGTGCCGTGAATACTTCTACTTCTCGGAGTTGTTGGAAAATTCGTCTGCGATTGAGTGTAGTGTCCGGAACGAGCCTGTTAAGCTATTAGCCATGGCTTTCGACCACTCCACTCTATTCAGCGATAAAAGGGGATGCTCAAAGTTCCATGACACACAAATTTACAAAGCTGGTCTGAATGAACGGGATTTCAACATACCGTAAGATGCAGTCAGCTTTGGCTCTGAGCGAGTCGGTCCATTCCCGGAAAGGGAGAATTCTGCCTTCAGTTCGAGCCGTTCCAGTCACGCAATTGCCTAGCTTTCTTGACTCTAGATGAAGCAGCTTGATGAGGCGCTTCAACTTCGACACCTCGCTTGCTGGAAAAGCGAGTAGAGGAACTTTCCCCCGGAAGCTCGACTCTAGGTGTGGTCGATCCGGGATGTACCATTGCGACCCAGCATTAGGCGACACTAATCGAAAGGCAGAACTGGCCACCATATAGCCGTCCTGTACAGGCAGCACAGCACGTGGTGTCAACCTTCCAAGCTCATACTCTGGCGTTTCGTCTTTTATCATTTTTTCGAGCTCAGAGAATAACTCAGTAATGTAGGGAAGTTGGTCCGACGCCCGTATTTCGGATATCTCGTTCACTAAATGTTCAATCTCAGCATCCTTGAGTCCCAGGGTATTGCAGAAGAGTTGAACTAGCTGGGGATAGACCTCAGCAAGGGCGGGAAACTTTCGGAGGCATTTGGGTCCTTTCCAGACAACTTTGGTAGAAACTGTCCAATTGTGCAAGCCATCAGCCTGGGGAACGCACACCAAAGCTTGGTCGCGAAATGTGGTTCTAACATTATGTTAGCATGATTCTAGGGACATATGTGAGATCGAAACCTAGCTACATATTCGTAATGAGGGGATGTGATTACTTGTTCGACGCCAAGTAACTTTAAAGCAAAGGTGATAGAGCATACCTGACCTGGAGTTCATCATCTGCTGCCCGTGCTTGTACTTGCGTCAATATATCAGTGATTCTTGCAGCTGAGATTCTTCTCGATTTTGCATTCTGCAAGACTCGGAGGTAAAATTGTAAATCATCCGCTGTTCCAACACCGAACGGTCGCAGAGTTGTCTGCCAGATGGGGTCGTCAGGATTGCTAATATCCAAAAACGGCACTACACCATGATAGCGGTTGACAAGGTTGCTCAATGGCAAGAAAGTGTCTTTCAGAGGGTGTAGATTTCCGTTAATGTCTTGTACTTCGACAGCCGCCAATTGGTCCCGAAGGCGGCCACGATTTCGGTTCGCTCGGCTATCCTCGCTCTCCGTTTCATCATTTTCTAGCCATTCGCAATAGAGTCGCCAGTTATTCCGGATCAAGGATAGCCAAGTCGTAGCAGGGCTTCCTCGAACGATCTGGTTAAAGTCATCGTGTAAAGAAAACTGAGACGGCTCGTTTCCAGTCAACAGCGCAAGGCGCGGTGCATAGGCTACCTGAAGATTGTAAAGTAAATATCGGTGCCATTGTTGTTGATCTTCAACAGCCTCTGGATGCAGAAAGCTGTGGTGAAGAAATTTGAAGGAACGACAACCAGTAACTCGTTCGTGGAAGAACCTTGCAGGGTATTCGACAACCGCCCTCTCCTCTTCTGTGACTTGCCGAATAGAGATGTCCGCATACAACTTCCCAGCGCGAATGCATTCCCCATCTTCAGCTACTAGACAAATATTTCTGAGCTTGTCGGATCTGTAGTTGACGGAATATAGGAAGAGAGCCTGGGACAATAATTCCCTTGCAGAGGGCAGAAAAAATACCTGGTCCTGTATTTCGATAATTGCGTCACACACCTTGTAAATACTCAGCTGAGTAACGCCGAGAAGTTTGAAAAGATGCGCCCGATTGTCATCATCTTCGGCCCCTGGATCTATGACTCGGAATTGAAGCCCGTCCGGGATAGCTAAACCTTGCTGATCTCCGGAGAAATATAGCTTGCCGCTACTTCCCGAAACCCACTGTCCGTCTCGGAGGGGGATGAGCCTCATCCCATGTATGTCTTTTTGAATCAATGTGCTGTAGAAATTGGCTGCAAGCACCTGAGCGAGTCTGGAGTGCCAGGCACTCGACCTGTTGCGGAAATCAGACGCAGAGTCTCTCACGTAGCGCCCGAGCTCCTGTGAAAAACTAGCGAGGTCCATTACGACCACGCCCAAGGGTCGTAGTTTGTCTAAATCCTTTGCGTCGTATTGCGAAGCTAGGAAGGTCGCTTGGTTATCACACCTCAGCATGAGTGGAAAGCTCCCCTCGCCAGGATCCTGCTGATAGGCATCAGGTACATATGTCAGATTCTCCGGTCGCTCGAAGGTAGTAGCGTGACTCTTGAGTAGTGGCTCTACAGAGAGCTTCTGCATCAGTTCCACTGCGTACCCTCTGAAAAATCCTGTCTCCTGAATACGAGTAGGCAGATATCGGAACCAGGTATGTGGCATTGGACCATGTGCAAGGTCGCTTGCTGCTTTGACTAGTGCCGTGAGAGACGCATCACGCAGAGCCTTATTCCAATCTGAATGGCCTGCAATGTCTTCTCGGCCGGCGTTAAGAATGAGATCAGCATGGATAAGGAACTATTCTGGTCAGTTGGCACTTTGGTAAGCAGGGGCCATACTTACTTCAAAGCCGTAATCTCTGATTGGAAGAAAGGCATACACTTGCTGAGGTTCAATTTTTGGTGTCCAACTAGTATCATTCACATGAATGGGGAACGCCAGGATGACCTGGGATTGAGTAGCGTTCGCGCGTTTCGCGTCTGCCGGTAAGCATGTTGCAATATGATCCATAACTGCATAAACAGATGTCTCATAATTCACGTTTAGGGCAACGGTTCGCCAGTTTGACATCCAAAGGGGAGCCCCAGAGTCCTCTCGTTGAAGAATCCGTTCGTTTCCCTCCCCGGGGTTCGCAAACCGTACGGTAAGGTTTCGCAATTTGTGAAGGAAAAGGAGGATTCTTGGATCGAGATTTTGGAGCTCGCTACGTAAGGCGGACTTGTCGTACTCGGGAGAATACTCTAAGACAAATGTCGTGTACCCTTGCTTTCTTTCGATCGGCAGTGATGCCCACTTTGGGGCAATCATTCCCAGCGTTTCATGCCTATCAAACATGAACTGGTATGAATTCGAAGCGATGTAAACTCTGTCTGCTACTTTGAAGACAGACTTGAATCCAATACCCTTTTCGCCAACCGTGTTGGTAGAATTACTCCGAGCCTTGGTACTGTTGCCGATGCTACAGATAGCGTCCACATTATTTTCAGTGAACCCAGTCTCATTGCAATCTACTCGTAAATAGTTGCGATGGTAGGTGATCTCAAGGGCTGGGGCAACTCCACGACTGTATGAGTTGTCGTCTGCATTTTGGATGAATTCCAAGAGAAAATGAGTGGAATCATGATTGATCTCTTTAGAGATTCTAGGCTAGACCATTAGTACAATCTTGGTTCCGGGTTTAGTTTACGACTTACACTTCAAGGGCCCTGGCAAGATTGTTTTCATTCCAGCCTTGTAAGGTGCCGGTAGACAGGCCCATACGCCGCCTGATCTCCGCGATATGGGCCCTAGCTGCTGCCTCATGGTCCGTCGTCGTTGTTGCCATATTTATTAGAGATACGGTTCAAGATCGAGGGATCTCAGCCTTGTTTGTAGGTGGAAGAGAGGTAGTAGCGGTGTAGGAGGTGACCCACTACTTATCAGCTCATTTCTCAGCCTCCTTCAAGTATCTCCAAGTGCGTCCAGGGCAGACACGTACCATGGCCAGCCCAGAAGACTATCGAATAATAGTGAAGGCTGAGACTTGAGGGCGTCAAGGCCGAAACTTCGCTTCATGTGGGACGCAATTGGCTAGTCGAGAGGGCTGAGCAGGGAGACTCGAGGCGTCGGAAAATGCCGCGCTACAGCCTTACGAAAAGCCATCTCTTGAAGCAGAGCCGCTCGTAACCCTACTTCAATGTTGATATGAAGCAGCATGCGATTTCTCTAAAACTTGGGAGGCTGCAGAGGGATGAAAGAATAATGGGAAGACAACTGAAAGCTACAATGGAGATGGGAAAGCTCGAACTCCCATGTTCCACCAAAGGCCAACTTACTAATAGAGCACATAGCCACCTGTTGTGTGAAATAGGAGAACTTGGTGGCCGTCAGTTTTATAGAAAGGGAGGGCAGGGCATCGGCATCAATCATATTAGTTAAGGGCGGCGTTCAAGGCTTCTCTCTTAACGAGGGCGGCTTGTTATTTCGTCGCTGTTGCATACGATGATGCAAGAGTGCAAAATATATGAGCGTCCCAGGATGCATGGATTAGTGTTGAGAAGAATGGGAGGACGTCGTGGGGGATGAATGGCCCGAGGCCTATGCTCGATGAGGCAGGTGGGATGGTGAGCATGGTGGGAAGGGGGGTGGGGCGTCACCACCACCAAAGCTATCCACAATCGCTAGGAAACTTGATATCGCCTTCAAATATCGGGTGCCCATCTCAGTGCCGCCCAGGTGCTTTCTACGCGTGCACCGAACTCAGAAAGGGGGTTTCATCGCCCACAATGCCCGTCATCGACGTGCATACCCATATATACCCCCCGACCTACGTCGACTTGCTCCGATCTCGCACGACCGTCCCCTATGTGCGCACCTTCCCCGACGTGCCTGATTCTTCACGTCTCATCATTCTCCCGGGCGAAGATGACCCTTCGGCGCTGTCTACGTCGAGAGGCCGGCCAATTGGCCCCGAATATTTCGACATTGCGCAGAAGATTGCCTTCATGGACGCGCACAAGATAGACGTATCCGTCATATCTTTAGCGAATCCCTGGCTTGATTTCCTGCCAGCCAACGAGGCAGGTGACACCGCGAGAAAGATCAATGATGACGTGGATGGACTGTGCGCAAGGTATCCAGGACGGCTCTACGCGTTTGGAACACTGCCACTCTCTGCGCCTGTGGAAACGGTAGTCAAAGAGATCGAGAGGCTAGCGGGATTGAAACATATACGTGGAGTCATTATGGGTACGTCTGGGTTAGGCAACGGTTTAGATGATCCAGCTTTAGACCCCATTTATGCAGCACTCGAGAAGCACGAGCAGCTCATCTTTCTGCATCCGCACTACGGACTACCGTCTTCAGTATACGGTCCGAGAGCAAATGAATACGGCCATGTGCTCCCCCTTGCATTGGGGTTTCCATTGGAGACAACAATTGCCGTAACAAGAATGCTCCTTAGCCAGGTGTGGGATCGTTTCACGAAGTTAAATGTCTTGCTCGCTCATTCTGGGGGCACCTTACCTTTCCTTGCTGGGAGAATAGAAAGCTGCATCAATCACGATGGCCACCTAAAGAAAGCGGGGAATACAGAAGGGAGGAGGGATATTTGGGATATTCTCAAAACAAACATTTACCTAGACGCGGTCATCTACTCCAATGTTGGACTGAAAGCAGCAATAGATGCGTCAGGGGCGGACAGGTTGCTCTTTGGTGAGTATTTTCTCTCATCCAGATGTTTCCCATTCTAATTGAGTTTAGGCACAGATCACCCCTTCTTTCCGCCGCTGGAGGAACACGTCGGAGAATGGCATAGCGTGAGTGCGAACTACAGCGCTATCTCATCTGCCTTCAAGGGTAATGAGGAACCGGCAAAGGATGTTCTGGGTAACAATGCTATCAGGATACTGAAACTACACCCTTAGCAGCACCCATTCAACTATTAAATACCAAATTTGAAAGCCACTCCAGGCAATGAATTTCCTTGGTCCCTCGTATCCAATATTTCGAATACCCAGAGGCTTTCGGTGACCAAGATTCGGTACTGATCTTCAAGTAAAGTATCCCCGGTCTCGAAGAACTCTGTGCAGTGCTTGACCCACTATCAAACATGCTCGAATCTTCAGGCTTCCTCCTATGCTATTTGATAACCTCGTTAAACTCTTATAAGAATGCCAGCAACAATGACGCCCATTTAACCCTCTCCTAGTCACAGTTTATCATTTCCGGGTCGAGCTAGTTCGCACGTCACTCCACTTCCTACAACCCCGATTCTCAATCTACCTATAGAGCTCTTTGTCATGATCTGAGAATTCTTACCCTTCACATATAGGCCGGCGTTGTGCCGACGTGCCACCATCCTTACGAAACCTATGGCGCTTCCATGTTATCATGATTCCATCAACAAACATCTACCGCCCGTCTCCAAATATCGCGCCTCCTCCGATTTCTCCGAAAATAGCTCCCAACCGCCCTCTCCGGCTTTGTTACCGCTGCCTCAAATTACACCATTCTCGCAAGCTAGCTATTTCTCCATGTGGAAGAAGTCCCTCAAGTACAGCCTATTCCAACAATTTCGTCACGCACATGTTTAATTTACCTGCAGCATCAGGGCTTCCGTACTGAAGTTCGTACTCTGCTTCCGCTCTGTGAGATATCCAAGTATGGCTTAGATGCGCACAAGGCCTTCACCTTCCAGCGGTACACTTGCGCCTCTCCGCCCGCTCTCCACCTTCTCTACACTTCGACCTCGCAGGGTGTTACACTAAAATCGTGAGGTATCCGGATCTTCCAACTACACTGACGAAGCCATACTCTCAAGTAACATTCAGTTTACCTACGTAACTGAAGAAAAACTTGCCCCTGACTTCGAAAGCTTTTACGAGATCGATGTTCTCATTCGATGAAACTATACCCAACACACCCACTCCGAGGCCCGATATCTTTAAACCCAAAGTATTTCCAGCAGAGATATGGTGTTACACACTGTCTGTGCACTCATTAGTGTCCATATCGACTAGCTTCGCTGAGAGAATGGAACGAGAATGAGGGACTCAAGATAGAAAACTTAGAGTGGTTAGAAGCGGAACATGTGGAACAATTTTATTACCGAAGGGTACGTCTACATGAAGAGTGCGAACCAAAATGGAATCTGGTTAGACCCGAACTTCACATTCACCGCTTGCAAAATGGGAATCGAATTGAAGATCCCACTAGAAGCTCTTTTCTCGATAGATCGGCACCTAAGGCTCTAGAAGTGCTCGGGTGGGTGAGCGAAGGTGAAATAGGCACATGATAGGAGAAAAAGGCTGGGCGTTTTCTAGAAGACGACAGTCAACGTGGTTTATTTTTCCAGATTCAACGCATCCACCTGCTACCTGTGGCCACTTGCACTACCCTGGTAAAGACCTGCATCCTTCCCCGGTCTCGAAAGATGGCTCTAAAAGACTGCAGGAACAATTCTTGCCTCGTGACATTACTTTGGGAAACAGCGCGGCGACCCGAGAAAGCACTGGAAAGCTTCCAAGAGCTTCCGCTTTGTTGTGATCAGATGAAGGAACTCCGCCTGGACGTCCTTCATTGATGGAATGGATATGCGGTTTATTATTGGGAGTGCTAGTAGAAAGTCAGCCATCCCCACCATAGATGGAAATTCTCGCAGCATGAATGAAACCCTTCTCAGTTAAGACAGGAGATTTTAGGAGACACCGAACTCACCTCTGGATATTGGACTTCGACAATGCGGAAGAGCTAGGCTTCCCGAACTGGACTTTAGGCAGAACGAAGGTGTTCACCGTCGTGGCCTTGAACGATGATACCTTCCTGAATCCGCCTGCGGAAAGTGATAAGCTAAATATTTGAAAGCGGCAATACACTAAACCAGATACTCGGCTCCTAGGAACAAGGCGTTAGATCTCTTACTAGAATCAAGGTAAACCTCAAGAGGATATACGTTTCTATCCTATAGTTATTACAAATTATCACTACCATGTTCTCGCAGTTTTAAGAGTTAAGTTCTCCCGAGCGAAAGTCCTCAGAATTCCAACCACTCTTGCACTAGCTGTCTTGGCAGTGACATGCTAGTCTTCCAGGTCTTCGCCAATGATATCCAATCTGTGACTTACCGAAATGCTCCCACTTTAGGCGACGAAAGGAACCCAGAGCACGCGTCGTGAAAATGAGACATCGCATTAAAACTCTCAGCCAGAGTCTGACGCGTTGGCCTAGCAAGCATAGCATATTTTGGACACGTCAATTCCTCCCAACGGTGTCTTTTCTGCAGTCTTTACAAAGTTCCAGATTCATCATGGGGGATCTGAACAACACCAGTGCCATGCGACATACTGTCCAGTTTGGCCCAGATCCAGCTTATTCGTACCGTTCTTTTGCCATCACTGAGCTAGAAGACGACGCTAAGATCCGACGACTGTACCGGCCATTCCTCTCCGACCCAGCAGTGGCCCAAAATGACTGGGTATCGAAGTTAGAGCTCAGCACTGCGCTTAAAATGGTAGAACAGCATCTGTCGGATTCTAGTAATGACAGGTTAAAAGTTCTCGTCCTTTATGGCAGTTTAAGGAGGCGGTTAGTTTTCATCGATTTAAAGTAACATTGCCCATTATTCTTATCTCACAATTCTTACAGATCGTACTCCCGACTACTAGCATACGAAGCTTCCCGCATCTTGTTCCGTCTAGGATGCGACGTTCGAGTTTTCAATCCGGAGGGCCTGCCTGTGAAAGACGATGTACAGCACGATCATCCGAAGGTACAGGAACTACGCGAACTCAGCAAATGGAGTGATGGACATGTATGGGTGTGCCCAGAGCAGCACGGAAACCTGGTAATTGAATCGAATTAATATGTCCAATTACGCTCGCCCACTCAGCCTAACTCCTCATAGACCGCGGTATTCAAAAACCAGATTGACTGGGTCCCCCTCAGCACCGGCTCTGTTCGACCGACCCAAGGCCGCACTCTGGCGATTGCACAAGTGTCTGGAGGTTCTCAGTCTTTCAATACGGTTAACAGCCTCCGGGTCCTAGGTCGCTGGATGCGCATGTTCACGATTCCGAACCAGAGTTCGATACCGAAAGCGTATACCCAGTTCACGGCTGACCATGAGGAAGAAGGCGGCAGCAGACTTATGCCGAGCGACAATCGGAATCGTTTGGTGGACTGCATGGAGGAATTTGTCAAGTATAGCATCGTTATGAGGCCGCATTTCCATCTGTTTGGGGATAGATTTAGCGAGCGGATTGAAAGGACTGCGAAGGAAGAGAAGAAACAAAAGGAAGTGGATTCACTAGCTCTGATGGCAACGGAGAATGTTGAAAGCAATGGAACCGTAGTCGAGATACGGGCACCCGGGGCCGATTCTGTTAGTGATGGTGGAAAACTGGGCGTTGTAGCGGCGTAGATTATCCGTACTTTCTCTGGTCCCTCTTGAGATTTTCAGGGATCAGCGGTATTAGATCATAGATCGCCTCATTTCTACGTCGATGACTTTAATACACCAATCTCAGTCGGCTACTCAGAGAGCAAGCAGACGACATCATTAGCTAGGAATAACAAAAAGCTGATGTTGAGTAGGAGTTAGCTGAGCGATAAGAACTGCAGCGACAAACGAGACAAATTTAGTACTATGTTGGGGCTCGTAGACTAGGCGGTCTAGCTCAAGATGAGAGACAGCGAAAAATACAAGAATGAATATGACGATAGCTATGACAGGGATTACAAAAACCTCTATGGTAGGACTCTAGTTTGCGTCACATATTACAGGAAGTATCAGGTATCTTCCTTAACGGATTGAATCTTCCTAGATACAGTTTTAAGCCGATACCCACTCGAATGACCCGCCATTCTATGTAGACAATTAACATCTCCCCGCTGGCTTATTGACCCAGTTGAAGTGACGTTGAAGCTGTGGCTAACCCTTCTACCACACTTTGCTACCATGTTGAACCATAAACTCTGTATATTGCAGCCCAGCTCTTACCCGCCCCCTAACACCTTCCGCCAACACTAACCTCTATTTGCGCTGATTTCCCTAATCTTCAATATGATCTGCAAACCAAGCCCCACCACGGACTTCCACAACCCTTGGAAGACCTAACATAAAATGAGCACGGGGGCTCGGGAGAACCAGATCACTTTAGACACACCGGTGGATTTAAATAATATATAAAGTGTCGGAATCATCAGATATAGGGCTTAGGCGGGATGTTGACGGCGCCGCCCTCAAATAAAAAGGTGCATTCGTGAGTTGTTGGCCTGCAAATATTTGAGAGTATTTGTTATACACTTCAGAGCCGGCGCGTCTCAGACACGCGAAAACAAAGCCTTTTCTTAGTTTCATGTCGTGATTGAAAAACTGCAGGCGCTCTTCTCCAGTCATGAAAGGAGGGCTCAGGTTTCTTGACGCTGGGAAGGGCGTACCAAAGAGTTTCATTCTGAAGAGGCCATGATCGGCGCCACGGCCATTGTCAGTTCTGGACCCAAACATGCTTAAATACCAAGTATAGAAAATAGTAATACCTGAGGGTAGGAAAAGTGTCTATAGTATGTACTGGTTTCGGTGTGTCACTGCTTCATGCCGATTGGCTGGATCAGGCCTTGGCGGTTCCGATCAGATGCGCAAGCTTTGCGGAATAACGGAAACATACACTGCCATCCACTTAACCAGAGTTGCGTTAGGCCATCTGACTACATCTTAGAAAGTGCTATTTGAGGATCACGGTATCACTTCTTGCAGAGGTGATCTCATCTTGTACGGGAGCAATCTCCGCGAGGTCATCTAGATTGCAGAACCTGATCCCTATGCCGAGAAAAGTAGGTTGATAGGCTGCTTTCAGCAAAACATTGTTCACGTGCTAACACCCGGGCCCGTTTCTAGAAGAGTGCTGTCCCTCATGCCACAAGGGTTCGGGAGAATCAGCGACGCTCACGCGCGCGTCGAAAAGAACTGATCGAAGATCTCCAAAAGCGGTTACGCGAATATGAGAAAAGGGAGATTCAAGCAACCATGCTTGTTCAACTGGCTGCGAGGAAGGTCGCGTGGGAAAATACTCAGCTTCGAGGCTTGCTTGCCACAAAAGGCGTTTTCGGTGAAGATATAGAGCAATTCCTTCATGGCAAAGAACCGCCGGAACTAGCATCTAACCACACTGTCTTCCGAGATACGTTACAAGGCGGTTTAAATTTTTCAGCACATGAACGCCAAAATATCTCCCCTTTAAACAATGATAGTCCGATAAGCCGTATTCCCCATCTGAACGAGGGGATGGATAATAGCACCGAGCCACATGACTCCAATGCGAACCTGGACATTGAAAATGATAGTACCGCAACCAACCCGTCTCTCGATCTACACCACTCTCAAATACGCCCTTGGATATCTCCAGTCTACGATTTCAGGCCGACTCAATCCTTAGAACCAAGGTTTCATATATCATCATGCCCAAACCACCCACCCCTTCCTTCAGAGAGCAACTGTGGCTGGGATTTTCCTGAAATCTCATCCCGAGCTGAAAGCGAACAACACGGCTTGCTACCCCCAGTTTCAGGCTGCTCCTGTCCGGTTGCCGCAACCCAAACTTTCTCAGGCCAAGAAAACCTGATGTTAGAGATGTCTTGCGAAACTGCGGCCATCATTATCGCTGGCATGCGAGGACACGGGGACGAGGAACAGGCACGGTTGGAGCTTGGTTGTTCTAGAGGCAGGCAATGCAACGTCAAGAATATAAAGGTTTTGCAGGTTATGGAGAGGGAGTAAACCTATGTGCATCCTCACCACCAACTTTGTTGCATTTAGCTCGATCTTTGCTTGAGTTCCATCAGCTTTCTCCTCGTCAGCATCAGTTTTCTATTCTTCCCATCCGACAATAAATCTCCCTGGTTATTTTTCCTTAATCGTCACCGGCTGAACTGCACTCCCATATCCAAATACCACGACCCCTTCGGCGCGCTCTCCGGTGGCGTAAAACTCTTGATCAAACCCTCATTCCCCAATACCTCTCCCGTCGCACTCGTCAGCCTCACCCCAATCGGCAACTTGATCGGCCCAACATCTTTTGGAAACTGCCACGCACCATATCTCTCCTGAGGCCGACTGCTCAAGAAATCTGGCTGCTGCACTAGCGTCATCCAACTCGCCATCCCGTCCCCCCGAATCTCGATGTTAGTGATGGATCCGGTGCCTGCGGCGTTCATGGCTGAGAGCTGCATGTAATACGGCCCAGCGCCATCGTGTACCCATACGTATGCGTTTCCGGGCTTAGGGCAGGAGACACGCCGGTATCGGGTTGGAATCACACCAGAGGTTTGGGAACCGTTGCCTTGGAGGCGGCCCATGGCTATGTCGGAGAGGTCAAGGTGGATCGAGTCTTTGGGGAGGGGGCAGCCGTATTTGAAATCGATTTCGCCGCAGTGGTCACCGCCTGAGCCGCCTAGTAGAAAAAAGAAGTTAAGAGGGCTAGGCAGGTAAGAAGAGAGGAAAGTGGGACTCACAGCACCATTTCGGATTCGGCCAGCAAGGGCAGCTATCTGTGATTTCTAGGACGATGGAATCAGTGTATCCGGCTTCACCTGGGACATAATCTGTGCCATCGGGCTTGGTATGAATGAGTTCGAAGCACTCGCCGCAAGAGAGATAATTATCTCTCTCTCCAGGCAACGAACCCCAAAACTATAGGTAAACCGTAAGCAGCACATAAACTTACACCCGAATCCTATAAGACCTAGCTTCGTTCCACTTACCTGAGTGTAATAATCTCCATTCGGCGCCGCAAAGTTTCCCCGCAGTCTAACACCAGCAGGATCCTGGCACAGTGCCGGATACGCCGTACAAAACGCATCGCAAGCTCCCCTTAGCATGTCATCGACCCAAGGTTCTTTAGCTCCGCCTCGGGTGCACATTCCATAGAGCCCATAGCCACAGGCTCCGGCGCTCGTGATACCGTAGTGTGTTGAACGCTTTCCATTGTCAGCCAATCTGGTCACTAGCTATCTAGTGCAAAGTTCGAAGCTCTTGATCAGAGAAATAGATTAGGAAATAGCTTACGCTATAATGCCAACTCTCATTACTCCCCAAGCTATGCACCTCCGGCCACATCGTCCCACTCTTACACATTTCTGACGGCGGCGTCGTACATTTCCCCGAACACCCATTTCCACAGCCTTCAGATCGCATGTCGTTTGAGCAGTATGCTGGACAGCAGACATTATCTACCAAGGCAACACCGCTGCATCCGCCGCCACCGGAGGGATATGCTGCTTGGGTGTGGGTCTTTGTCGCTGCGAGGTTTAGACTGATCGTGGTTTTATAGGGTGTTGAGATGGTGACCAAGGCTGGGGGTGTGGATGTGCTAGGTTGGGATTTGGCGCTCACGCTGGCACTCTGGGCCTCAGAGGACTGGGTGTTGCTATGTTAGGAAGAGGGATACTGAGGTAAGACAGGTGTGGGGGAACGTAAGGTACATTTGCGAGTAGACATTGGGAGTAATACTCGTTTTGCTTAACGCATATATAGCCGTTTACGCAACATGTTGAACCGGTGTATAAAGCGCCACCGCACTGTTTACTATGAGGGTGTGAGCAAAGCTTGGATGCTAGAGTTGAGATTGGGATAGTGTACTAAGCATCTCCGCATGCGTCTGCCCGAATAAACAGCTGATGCGACAGTTTGGAGAGTGCAAAGAAAACAAAGCATATGACTGAGCTTTGCATGTCGTAAAGTTGGCCAACACTATTTGGGAAGTTGAGAAAGAAGGTTAGCAATGCAATCCATCAAGTCGTGACGCAATACAACATCTAGGAAGATATGTGTATCTATATATTTAGTCGATGCAAATTTCTTAATCCTAGAGCCTGCATCGTGCGTTGCACCTCATGATCAAGGTGTGGCATTCGAGCGATGCAATATGGTTGCGGGCCGTACTCGACTTGACCTTTCCATCAAAAGCACTATGCCATGTCTTCTCCAGAATTCTGGGTTTAATCTAGTGATGTACTCACCCAATGGAAAACATCTTAACTTGGTAGATGGCTTGACACTTTTGGCACGGTCCGATATTCCCAGGCATCTCTTGGGGCTGATACATCCTGAACGTGAGCTCGGGTGACTGTGACACAAACCTTTGAGACTATGTGTTATGTGACAGGGTATAATAAATCGCGAAGTCAGATGTCGTGGGCCGAGTTCTCAAATTGATCAGGCCTACTACCCCGGTTTAGCCGTTTATTAAACCACGTGATCTTCTGGACTATGAATATATGGATTTCGTAAAGAACTTATTTGGATCAGATCCCCTATGAGAGTGATAGGGAGAACAAAAGAGAAGTGGTCATACCCACCCTCACAGGTCTTTCTCAACTCCCGTTCTATTTAAACCACTCTTTCCTAAATCCCAAAATCCACATCCTCCCCACGACAAACGGCGCTACTTCCGCAACCCACAACCACAACCCCCTTCTTAGCATCTCCAGTGCTTTCTTCTCATCCTCTTTAGTTCCTCTCCTATCGCTCACCAACCCCTCCTCCAGCTCTTCAACACTCCTTATACTGTCCCTCCTTCCCCCTCTCCATCCCCTTAGATAACTCCAACCAATCTGCGCCAAAAGCCCAAAAGCTAACAATGCCTCTCTCCCTAACAACGTGTAGTACACGATCCTCCTGCTCTTAATACTCGTTGAGTCAATTCTCGCGGCAAGGAAAAGCGGGATACTGAATGCGAGGGTTTGGGTGCCGAGGGCTTGGATCAATGAGAGCGATGTTACCGGATATGGAGGTTCGGATAGGTTTTTGAGTATCGTTGATGGAGCGAAGAAGAAAATGGAGCCCCCCATCACTTTGAGGACGGCTTCTGTAAGAAAGAGAGTGCGTAGGGGAGAGGCCATGATTAGATGCTACAGCGAGCTAAGCAAAAGACTAAAGCAGATGCTTCCGGTATTCACTAGCGGACTAATTAAATGAGGAAATAGGGAACCACGTTGATAAAAACAACCCGCGAGCTTGGATTTAAAGTAAAACGGCAATTAGTCAGCCACAGACACTAGTGAACTATGCTCAAATGGGACACAATTACGATTGGATCGTCCGTGGAATGGTCCGCGAAGTTCGGAAATCCAATTATTATTCGTTCATCCAAACAAGTACATGTAGGTCATCAGCGATCGTGGAAGCACCATCCTTATGAACGCAGCTGGACTAATCCCTACGCCAACCGATTACTCGTTACACCTCCCAGATCCCACTGCTACCCACTGAAAGAATTTACAAGAATCAAATACTCGCTCATCGGACGCCCCAGAACAATCCCATCTCGACTAAGAGGTAGGATTCTGTGTCACGCCTCGGCTTGAGTCGACCTAATCCGACGGGTTAATATGCGACTTCCTTAATTGAAGCGGCTGAGGTGTGCCCTGAGGTGTTGCAGTGCCAGATCCGGCCTGGGGGGTTCCAAGGCCGGAGAAGGGAGACACTGTACCGCTTGGAGGGACTGGGATTTTGATGTCCTCGGGACTACCCGGCACAATGCTCTCAGGGAGGCCCGGGATTTTGATTCGTTTGGCGACGTTGTTGTAGCTTGACGGTATGATCTGTGTAATGTTAACGCAATTGTCCTATATCGTAAAGAAAGAAGAGAGATCTTGATGGCAGGCCAATTGTTGGAGATTGTGTGCCTAGCAGGACTGTCGTGGAAAGAAAACGGAGAGATTGACCTCGATTATTTCATCACGGGGAAACTCGAGCTTTGGAATGTCGGCGGCATTGCAGGCCATGAGATAGCCGTACAACACGCGAAGGACAGATTCGTGGGCGATAATGAGAAGGTCATTTTCTTCGCGCTCAAGCTCCAGAATGATCGGCTCCATACGTACGGCCAGATCATGATACGACTAGTTTATGTATCAGTAAAGTTGCCTGTCGCACATGAGCAAGCGATGGTTATACCTCTGCTCGTGGGTATCTATGATGGTACGGATCTGCCTCATGCTTCATTACTTCCGCGGGAAACTCCGCACGTATCCTCTGTTCTGACATCTTCTCGCACACTCCCGGGTTCATTTGACTCATTTGTGAGCGCTGTCTTACACGGTAACCCATGGCTGCGAGGAAATCTGCTGTCTGGACAGTGCGCCTTCGTGTAGACGTCCAAATTGTGAGGGGTTTGAGGGCTGCACCCGGCGCACCTTGATCAATCAACTTCTGCTTCTCCTCCTCGCGATAATTGAGAAGTACTTCGCTCATTTTTTTGGCATAGTCGTGGCCTTCTGGAGATAGAGAGGCATCTGCCTTGTAAGAGTCTTCTTCGCGGGTAGTTCCAGCTCTGGCGAAGTAAGTCTGTCGAGATTTGATGTGTAAATTGAGTAGATAGAAGACAATTCGCTGTGACAGGTAACCGAACGCACAATTGTTCACAACCACTCGTTCGCCGGCGTTGATCATCTTGATCCAGTGCAGGTCTTGCTCCTCCATAGTTTCGAAGTGAGGTATTCTGGCGTTAATTCGGGCAAGGTAGTCCGCAACAGCATCCTCGTCGGACCACCCCTGATAGTCGGGAGAGGAGATTTTGACTCTTCGTACATTCTCCTGGATAATGCGCTCGTCGGTGCAGTGGGATTCGATAAAGACAGTCTGGATTCCGTTCTTGGCGAACTCCTTCGCAAGAGACTTCCGTCCAGCGGAAATGGCATTTACGGCATCGTAAATAGCGACCTGTCCCTTCTCGTGCTCTAAGAAGTGATAGATATCTTCGCGGCATTTCTTCAAGATCTTGTTGCGCAGCAACACAGACTGGGGAGATGCATTCAAGAAGAAATAGTCGTCTGGGACGTCCTTTCCTGGCCCAAGGGTCGCTCTTCGGTAGTCGCCAAGGTGGAAGACATGAGTTTTGACACCCAACCAACGCAGGTAACGAGCTACGGCGACAGACGTGTGAGTCTTCCCTCGCGCTGGCAAGCCAACCGTGGCAATTACAATTCGCCCGGAGTGGAATAGTCGACCAGACTCGGTGCTATACAATTGGGCAGGGGCCATCTCTTCCTTTTCGGGTAAGTCATGGATGGCATCGACAAAGGTACTCGACCTCCGCCGGAAGCGGGGCGAGTTGGCATAGATCTCTGCAGTCCTAATAGGAGTGAGCATTATGACTACCTAGGGGCGTCGTTTGGGGCTGCTCGTTGGTGATTGATGCTTATGCACATTTAGCACTACGTACAATAAAGTATCCATTTTGATCCTCGGAGGTGCAACAGGGGTGTGGTGAGTATCGCAGGAAGAAAAATAAGCAGGAGACAGTGGAAGAGGGGAAGATTAGCGAGATAGTAGACAGAGGACAGCAAACAAACGGGGTTCAGAGAAGATGTTGAGGCTGCGTTCAACAATTCAAGCCAAACCACAGGAGAACCAAGTTGTCGGGTGCGATAGAGAGATTCCCGAGTTCCGAATGAGGCAAACCAGGGTTCGATTGAGGTGTGGGCGGCGCACCGTTTGCGGCAACAAACCAAAGTTGAGCGGTGTCGCGTGAAGTGTGCAGGCTGGGCGAGAAGGTCTTTTGCGCCTCGAAGGAGAAAAAGCAAGACTCTTCGGCGGTATTATCGAGTGAGGCCTGGGATACTGCGGAGCCACTGCCGGCCCGAAGACTTGGCATTGTTTATGTCATCATTTCTCTTGGCATTCGTCTGCGAAAAGTTTCGTGAATCGCGAAGCACAGCCGAAGCCATCTCGACATCGGCCAGCCCTCTCCGCCCGAGCTGTTCCACCGTCCATCCCGTCTCGACACTCGCAGCTTCTTCCGCGAATTTTAGGGCTTTCTGTTTTTCATTTCCCCTTGCTCTACACCATGGAGCCCGACATGAAAGAGCAAGCTCCTCTCGACCTGTTCTCTCAGAATCCCATTATGGCGAGATTACGGGAGGCCTATACCACATTCTCGGAGAGGAGAGAGGCATTGGGGCTGTCGAATCCGGGTACGGTGGAGAACATTGCGAAGGAGGTGCAGCGGGATGTTTTCCTGAACAACCTGAGCTTTTCTGGCCTGCGCGCCGACCTCACCAAAGCTTTCAGCGTCGCTCCTCTCTTCCAGGTCTCCCATGCGTTGGCCATGGGCTCGCAGAGCCAGCCGCCATACACGTATGCTGCCCTCTATGGGTCCCCAAAAGTCAGTCTCCCTGCTCGCTACACCCCTCGTGACTAAACTCTTTAGGTCTTTCTCCAAGCAAACGTCGACAATGAGCTCTCTTTCTCGGGTCGCTTCAACTACCGCTGGACGCCCTCATTCGTCACCAAGACATCGGTGCAGCTAGCCTCCATGGGCTCCATGGTGTCGCTCGAGAACGACTACACAGGCTCAGACTTTTCGGCGTCTCTAAAAGCCATCAATCCGTCGATTCTTGACGGAGGCATTACCGGCATGGTCATGGCCAGTTATCTTCAGTCTGTGACGCCGAAGCTGTCGCTTGGACTGGAGGCTCTGTGGAATCGTGTGGCGATGACGCACTCCCCGGAGCTAGTTGTGTCGTACGCAGCCAGATACAAGGGTACGGACTGGATTGCTAGTGGACAGTTGCTCGCGCAGGGTGGTATCGAGGCGTCCTACTGGAGGCGGTTGTCCGAGAAGGTGGAGACGGGCATCAATCTCAACCTGGCGTTTGCGGCTATGGGTCCTGGAGGACCAATGGCTGGCATCAAGAAGGAGGGCACGGTGACAATTGGCGCCAAATACGACTTCCGAGCTTCGTCGTTTAGAGCGCAGATTGACAACAATGGCAAAGTTGCCTGTTTGCTTGAGAAGAGAGTTGCGCCACCTATCCAAGTTACATTCGCCGGGGAGATCGACCACAAGCAGGTATGCTATGCTCCACTTCCGGGCGGCACTATATAAAGCTAACAAGTAACTTTCAGAACCAAGCAAAACTCGGGCTTGCAGTCTCAATAGACGCCGCGGATCCCGAAGTAATGGAACAGCAGGAGAGGGTTGGAGCTGATGCACCTCCGATCCCCTTCTAAATTACCCCGCTAATCGCACCATCATCTAGTGTATTCGACGATAATACATCATAAATCTTCTCTTCGCTGTATTACCACCTTGTTGGAGCGAGCATTCCGTCTCGCTTCTCAAAAGCGCCGGCTTTCCTGTTCTCCATGCCACCATGCACCGGCGGTTGGTTAGGGCACTGCACGAATAGACATGCTTATGTTTCGTGTTCCTTCTGACAGAATTTTTGGACGCTTACTCACGGCGCGACATGTGTTGAATGTAATGGGCCACGGCTTTTGGTAGATCTGAGGGATGGGTCGGTTGGGAGCTTGTCGAGCTGTTCGAAGGATTGCTTCGACGGCCAGACGTGTATATACTACAGCATGGAAACATAAAACTCACTCCGCTTGCGCAAACGATACGCCAAATCACTCGTGGTTTCGATGCAGTGTTGCATGTCAGGACGAACGTGAAGACATGCAGTATTGGAAGAGCCGAGAAAGCTAAAAGTACAGGGTGTTAGATACGACTTTCTTACATCGTATGCATTCAATTCATTTCGTGCCCGTCCCATTCCCCTATCCCATGTTCCTTCACCTATAATGGAAACAATTGTACAAGAATCAAGCGCCAAGATATGAGACGAGTGGCCAATGTCGGAATTCTGGGAGATTCACAAGGCGGGGTTCACCTGTGCGCCTGGCTGAGCGCCGGGTGTGAGGAACTATAAAGCATTCGAGTTAGCATCCAAGAATACCAAACAAAGAGTCTTCTTTCCCCCACGCACGCCAACTCATCATTTAAACGAAACTCATATAATCTGATATGAACTCACTTCATTAGTCCGCTGCTGCATCTGCATCTCCCGATCCATCTCTGCCATCTGCTGCTCCTCACTATACGCCAACGCCCACGGTACCCCCAACAACAACGCGCTCGTGCTCACCACCCACAACGTCTTACCACCCATAACTATTCCTGATTTCACCCATGACGAGGCAGTTGAGAATTTGGAGTTGATGCTTCGACGGTATGGTGCAGGAATGATGTCTTGCAGAGCGAGGATACGCTCATAGAGCGTTTCATCGGGGGTGATAGAGGCGATTGAGGATGTTTCAGAGTCTATGGATGTGAGTTAATAGGGGAGACATGAGAGGAAGGGAAAGGGGGGAGAGGTTTACCGGTGTCGGTGTCCCAGTCGTCGTCGTCGATTGGGCCTTCTTGGGTGCGGAGGAATTCTTCATCAATGACCTCTTCAAGCTTGACCATCTTGGCGTATATGGGTTGATGAATGTGATAGGTCTTGTAACGGCGGGGAAAGGTTTAAGCACAGAGGCGATGGGATTTTTGAAATGTCGTCGGTAGTCGAGCACGAGGTTGGATTTCCAGATGATGAAAAAGAGAGCTTGGACCACCCATTGTTGGATCATTGTTTTCCCGAGATATTACGTATGCTCCGAACCCGGCAAATTGCTGCTTCACTTCAATCTCCAGTCACAATGGATATCTTCATTTGGACTAGAGCCTCCAACCCTACCTGCTATCACGTTCTTCTACTTCTTAATATGTCCCCTTCCCACCCTGAGGACCTGCAGAAAGGTTAAATAGCAGCAGGTTCCTTGAGGCAAATCACTAGCGACAATCTACGATTGCACACTTTCCTATCTCGACAGACTTGGGCTTTGATTTTACGAGCAGGTATAAGCCTTCCTTTTCGGAAGCTTGGATAAGGGAAATTTAGCAATAACAAAGGAAGAATAGAGATATAGACAAAAAAATCTCCTGTGCCGCTAACAATGTTTATACAGAGTACCGCGTTAGTCAGTTGCAAAGTCAGACAATAGGCGATAGGTTTAACATTCCTTACAGTAAGGCTGGGAAGACATACTGAGCCCAAGTACCAGTGTAGTACCAGAATACAGACGCTGACACACTAATTCCAGCTTAGCAACACCTTAAAACTGTAAATAGTAACAAAGAGGTAAACTTTAGCCTACTAACAACAGAACACAGCATTATAATATTGCATTAAAATATCTAGAATATAGTAATAGACCTAGTAAAATATATTTATTTACCTTAAAAATCTAAAATATTTACAAAAGTGGTAGAAAGTTTTATAGGCTAATAAGACATTAATCTAGCGCTTTTTTAAACTAATAAGAGAAAAGGCTCGGCAAGATGTACAGTGATTAATAGAGATATTGCCTCTTCTCATTCAAACCCCAGGCGGCATTTGAAAAACACTTTTTTGTCCACCTCAGCCCGAATTGGGCTTCCCTCTGCTCACCTTGCTTGATTGAATAATGGTTATCAGATAGGAAGACATCCGCAACTCTCCCACTGCATAGATAGGAGGTGTCTTCAATGTTGTCCAGCAAGTGTTTTTTTTTTATTTGCTAAGAGGAAGCTTGCTCTGTGGTTCAATTATTAGTCATTTTGGAAGTTTGAACCCGGGCGTCATCACCTTCCTTCGGACAACAACCTATTCCAACGATACTTCACTGATTTCAATGCATCCATTCGCCGCAGCGATCAGCGTGAAAGATCCGCCAGAGGTTTATAGCCTCGCAGATCACAATCTTATTTCTCTTCCCTTGGACGCCGCCATATTCTTGAAGGTGCTTTTGGAACATATAGGAAATATGACTACATAGCCAATATCGATTCTCTAATCTCGTTTCTAGAATACAGAGCGGGGTTAAGAAAACAAAAACTTTACCCTAAACTCAATCCTTGTATGTTTCCTCAAAGGTACTTACGTGTAGGAGGTGGAAGCCCATATATCTAGCCATTCCACGTACATTGTCTGGAGAAGCTAGGTGGTGAGTTTAATAGTAAGAAAGTGGCAAGATAAAGCTGCTTTGTCGTACATTAGGAGATACACTCGAATGGTCATATATCGAGAGAATTTTCGCCTAGAACTTCAGTCTAATTGTACTCCTACATCATGGGTCCAGGTTAACAAGCTATTATGCAAACCTGTAACCATATTTAAGTCTTTAAATCTACCATCCTATCAGCATGTTCCGGCTTGCTGCTACTCATATCAAGTTGACTAGTTCAGATAAATGGGCGACATACGATTTCATCAAATGTAATCAAAACACCCTTCCCCATACACCCCCAACACACTTTGATCTCCAAGAACGCATCCAGCGCCTGTGCGGCTCAGACGCCTACTTGTCAATGGAAAAGACCCAAGGCATCAAAGAGAGATGAACAATTCGCGTTATCAATTTAAGCGATCGAGACCCTTCAGAGCAGACAGCATAAGATACAATTATTCCAGACTGCGCGTGCTTCCATGATAATGGAAGCCCTAGACTAGGTACTTGAAGGCAAGTGCTGTGTAATAGCACAAACCTAGAATCCGCTGCTTAAGTCAGCTCAAGCCTGCTCTTCACATTTTTGCTCGCATTTACACCTGTAGAGTTAGTGAAAATCCACAAACAATGGCTCTAAATAGCAAAGCGAAAGGAGTCCCAGCACCAACACCAGACCTGAGACCAATCCAACTGGACGAGGACCCAGCACCTATATCAGCCCTACGAGACACCACAGACTGTAAGCAATGGATATATCCTCCCCTCCCCCACCAAATGATTTGTGTTAGCTGATTCGTTTAGCAAAACTGGCCCATACTCTTCTGGCGAAACATCGACACTTAGGCCATGCTCGCGTCAGATCCTAATCTACCAGGTGAGTCTGGCAAATATTTCGCATAAGTGTGGACTTGGATGTGAACATAGAGGAGAATGCCACCATACGAAGCCGGGGAACGGGCAATTTTCTAGGTGCGACGAGAAGGAAGGTGATGGCTAAGCTGCTCTTAGAGGTGGAAAAAGTCGTTGGAAAGTTGCACTATAGCAGCAAGAAGAGTTGACAAAGAGCAGTAACGATGGAAGCGTAGTGGACTGATCGACTTGATAGAGACAATGGGGATCGATCAGTGAAGGGCGAAGACGGACGGCAGACGAGTGGTGTTGTTGTCCAGCCAAGCTTTCCCACGCCAATTCAACCATGGAACTCCCCACGTGACATCAGCGATCATTCCCCTCAAGCGTCACACCTCAGCCCTCCACCGTCTCAGATCTCATGTGCCGTTCGCAGCACAAAATAATCCTGAAACATTTCATCGTTCCCTGACCCTGCGTCCATATCCTATATTCGTCCCTGTTCCTGATAACATTGCATCATCCGACTACATCATCGGCTTTTCGTCCGCTCCGCTAGCGATGGTGCAAGTACATAGACCACCCCCACGGCACCTCAGCAAAATGCGCGTGAAATCAGCCCAGGCAGACAACTAGCTGTCACATGGCTACCTGTGTTGGTCGCGTGAAGAGTTCCAATAAGTTCTCGTGTTTGCCTGGCGCTGGTGCTTGCTCTTAAACGCCCTCTTCCCCACTCTTCTTTCCGCCTCATGCCCGTTCCTCGTTGTTCTAGATTCCAGTATCAAAACTCTGGGTTCTACTTTTTCCCCAAACACAGCCATGGCCAAAGATGCAGTCCTACCAACCTCTCTCCCAGGCGAGATTAACGCAGCAACTCGGTATTCCAACACTTCCCTTCCCCTCTCCCCTAGCCTAACAATATCACAGAACCCTCCACTCAACCCTCAACTGCCTCATAACCACGCGCCTACCGCTCGCCCTCCCGCCTCACACTCCAACACCCTCCGTCTACACAGCCGGGCTCCTCCACTTCGCGCACATCTACCTAACCCTTGAATCTCTATGGACTGATCTCCTCCCCTCACCCTCAGACCCGCCAACCTCCCCACTGCTCTCCTTCCTCCTCGTGAACCCTTACGACGCGCCGGAATTATTCTCCTCTCCACCCTCTCCTGTTATGTTGCGCTTCCTACAACACCTCCGACCACGAGGCTTGGCTAGATCGACGCGACTGAAACGCGATTTGGAATTCTTGACGGGCCTGCATCCGACGGATTTGAGTGTACTGTTGGCGCAGTATCCAGGGGAGAAAGTGCAGGAATATTGCATACATATTCGGAGAATGGTGAAGGCGAAACCGCATTTGTTAGTTGCGTATGCGTGGTGTTATTACATGGCTGTGTTCTCTGGCGGACGGTGGATACGAAGCGAGCTGCTGAAGTGCGGGGAGGAGTTTTGGCGGAGCGCGAGGGAGCAGGATGCAGAGAAAGCTGAAGTTGAAGCCGAGCCGGAGCGCGTAGGCCTTCTAGAGAGGGGTCTATCATTCTGGAATTTCGACGGTGCGCACGACGGCGAAGATATCAAAGCGGAATTCAAGCGGCGGTTAGCGGGCGCAGAGGACTTTTTCACGCCCGACGAGCGCGTCGACATCATCGAAGAAGCAAAGAACATCTTCAAATACAGTGCCAGCCTCGTCCAAGAACTTGATGAGAAAATAGGTACGGATGCGGCGAAGCTAGCGCAGGTCGGGCACGTGGACTCAGGCACCCTTCGCGCAAATGACAAAATGAAAGTGGCTGAGAAGGTCATTAACCCTAATATGTCTCAGTCGGCTGTCACATGGCTTCGAAGACCAGAGATCACCGGTGTGTTTGTAGCTTTGGGATGTCTAGCTTGTGTGGCTTTGCTCAGGTTGGATCCGCGTAGTGCTTCGTGAGTGTGTGCCGACGGCATATTTGGGCGTGGGCATAGGATTGGCGTTTTTCAAATATAGAGCGTAGAGTTTGGGTTGGGTATGGGTTGAGTGGATGGTACATATAGAAGATACCCAGTAGACTACTTTTTGGCTTTAAATTCATATTTCTACCTGTTTTCACACGCTTATTCCTCAAGTGTTGATTGCCACCTGGCCGCTATGTTTATCGTAGGTACACGAGAGGGGCTAATTCATAATAGACTCATGCAGAAGGAAATGTCTTGCATTCTAGTCAAGGAGATGCATACGACAACCGAAATTAGACATGCCATGATACGTTACTGCCATACCGCCGAGTCAGCTGTAGCACTCAGACATGTTTTTTCTCTTTTCCAAAATTATTTTTTTGACCTTTACGAATCGTAGCTTGGTTTCAAAGAGATAGAGAAGGAAACAGCATAAATGAACTAGAGAGTGAGCATGAATAATACTCCAAAGCCCCATCCTTCCGATCCCAACGACCATTCCAACAAGCAAGGGAACACTTGGCTGCAGCCCTCACTGATCGTAACCTATGCCTTGCCACCGTGGAGAAGGCCTTTCGTGTCGTGGACATTCTTTAGATGAGCACGCAGATCAGCCCTTCGGAAATAGCCCTTCGCACCGATACGATCACAGCCAGACTTCGCTATGTACTTTCCGCATGTGCTTCAAGTACTCCGACGATTCTTTGAATAGTCAGTTGCCATAACTGAGGTGCCTTCGATAGTCCACATAATCTTGGTGAGGACAAGATCACCTCAAGTAATCTAGTCACAGTCCCCTTTTTGGATCTCTATCTCCAATGTGGTGATAATTTTGCAGGCGTGAAGTCAAGTGGTCCTTCCGCTTAAATCCATTCTCTCCGCGATACTTTCGGCACTATTTGTAAGGGTGCCCCCTGACCTCTTCTTGATGGGACTTCTCATGTCTCTGATAGCTGTCGAAGAGTGTGAGAATGTTTTGTCGCAGTCGTCATAGGTACAGATGAAGGCAGCGTGTCCTATACCCCGGCCATGAGAATCTAATTGGGATTGGGATTTGAAGGTCTACTAGCATTCGCGGCATGTAAAAAGTTCCGGATGTGAAGCTAAACGGTGCTTGTGGTACTCCGCGCCCATGCTAGAAAAAGCGAGCTCGCATGGCCTTTGCGTTTGACAGGTTTGTGAGATTATATCCAGGCATGACCCACAAGTTAAGCGTACGATCTCAGCTTAATGCCACAAACGCCGCAGGGATACATTTGCTCATTTGCTTGGCCTTTATACTTCTCAATACTGCGGTTAGGTAGCACCGGAGCTCCTCGATCTTGCGCAACGGCTATACCTTTCTTGTCTAGGATTGAGAGAGATATCGGGTAAGCTATCTTCTCTATTGCAACCCGATGCATCTTCGAGAGAAGAACCGTGCGTCTTGAGAACAGCACAGTCAGGTCTCTCTTCAACCTATTGAGGTCGGCCCGGCTTGAAGATATCTGGAACAATGTAGCTTGGGCCGAAGATTGGCATTTGTGGCGGCTCAACATTGAATATATTGAGAACAGGCCGAGGTTGAACGAGTGATGAAGGTGCATAATGATGGGAAATATTCACTTCTAGTTCTGTACATAGATGGTTGGCTGTGTAAAACGGAGCCTAATTACTAGGTGCTCTGATGCTGTAGTGGAAGGACAGGGGAACTGAGGATGAGATGTCGAATCTATGGGTCAAGCCAATGACCCGGAAAAGGATCCTCTTTCTCTTCCGACGGACTGAGTGTGAAAAAAAATCTTCACCCAAAATCCTCCATAGCCGCTAGGGCTGGAGAAGAGGGAGAGACACAAGGCTGAAGCTTGGGCGATGCATGAGTGTTGTTCAGCTGGAACAAAAAAAGGGCGAGAGCATTTTCGCGCTATGAGAACTGGTTCGCTAACTCCCAAGGTTGGCCAAGCGTCTCGAGTCGTGCCTTGAAGCCAGAACCATCTAGGGTAGGATCCGAAAGGACATGGGGAGAATTCAAGGTTGATTTAGAATTTTGGACAATACAGGGGGTGACGATGGGAGGGGTTGTTCTATCTTGAGATAGTTGATCCTTAAAGTTCCAACGGAGATGTCGGAGTCGTGATGGACCGGCGAATCCCCAAAGGTTGCTTTTAAGGTGTGCTGGGCCAGTATCCTAATCCGTGCAAGGGGATTAGAGCTGAGTGGAAGACCTGTAAATTTTCCTAAGCGTGTTCCGACAACAACTGTTCAAGTGTTTCTGAAAGCTTGACCATTTTCTCAAAAGCTAAAATAACAGCCGCAGAGATAGCGTCCACATTTACCGAATAGTTTCCCATAAGCTATCCTACAGCCACGGCGTGCATGATATTGAATCACCTGCAGCTTCATAATTAACAGGAGCTTATCTCCGTTTTGCCAACCTTGTCAACCCCATGGGTTGCAATTGACTCTTTTTCTGATAGGCAATTAATGTTCCCTTCAGGAATGTTTCATGCAGATGCAAAGAGAGATGATCAGGGCGGATGCTTAGTTAACACGGTTGCATGTTTGCAACCTTGACCTGCCAGGCTCATTCGACGAAATAAATCATATACGCGCGAAGGCTGTGAGAATGACATCACCGAACCTTGAACGCAATGGAGTCAGTGGTAAGTTATATACGATGGGTATTCTTCGTGCTTGCCTCCTTCAAGACCAGTTAACGTCTCCTAATTCCCACAAACGTAGCATATTTCCAACAAGGCAATCACTGCAATGCCGCTGCCCCGCCGCGCCCTTATCGCGGTAACCTCCGCCAAAGCCGACCTCTTCGAAGGCGGTGGTCATCAAACCGGCGTCTTCATCGGCGAAGCTGAGCATCCCTTCAATGTCTTCACCAAGGCCGGCTTCGAAGTAGATCTCGCTTCTGAGACTGGCGAGTGGGTTGCAGACTGGCTGAGTCTACAACCTGGTTTCTTGACCGAGGAGGAAAGGAAGCAGTATGATGATAAGGGGAGTGAGTTTAGGAAGAAGTTAGATAACCTGAACAAGGCAGCTGACTTGGATGGGTCGAACGTATGTATCCGAGCAAGCCGGCGGAGGAATCAAGAAGCTAATGGGTTCCGAAGTACGGAATCTTCTTCGCATCAGCTGGGCATGCCGCATTGAAGGACTACCCCCATGCGAAGGGCTTGAAGAGGCTTGCTATGACCGTATGGGACAACGGGGGGGTTGTATCCACGGTGTACGTTGCCTTCTCTCGTTGGATCTGTCCTAGACAGCGTCTGATACCTACTATCCGCGATACCCTGCTAAACAAAGGAATAGCTGCCATGGCCCGGCCATCTTCCCCGGCATCAACGATGGAAAAACTGGAGAATCCATCATCAAAGGGAAGACCATCACGGGTTTCACGAGCGAGGCCGAGGATGATATGAAGGTCACGGATGTGCTGAGGTCGTGGGGTGAACCATTTATTGAGGAGCATGCGAAAGCACTGGGGGCGACATGTAAGCTTTTATCTGGATTTGGCCATAACGCTAAAAGCCAGGCTAATGGTCGCCAGATGTCCGTCCTAAAGGAGTGTGGGATGGATTCCATATTACTGACGGCCAGGTAGTGACAGGGACGAATCCAGCGAGCGCAAGAGAGACAGCCGAGGCTGCTCTGAAGGTCTTTGAGACATTGTAGCAAGGATTAATTGAAACGATTTACATTCTCAATCAAATGGAACTTCTATGAGGGAGGAGATGAATAGTGATATTTGTGGGAAGGTGCGTGGAAGTCAGTGAAGGCACATGAAAGCGAGTGAACGACCCAAAGTCATCGTCATTGGCGGCTAGCTACAGCGAGGCACTTGGACCTGAGACGCAGCCCAAAAGCGCAACGTCAACGTTTCAGCTCCAGCGACATTGCTCACAAGCTTGATTCACTCCGATTTCCAAATGATAAACACCTTATAGACAAGGCCGACCACATTCTCTCGTTTCTACCCAGCAGGTCGTGCTTACTGTCTGCCTGCCAACTCGTTCGCCATGGCGACACGAGGGCAGTTCAACACCAAGAATCCCACCATCAAGCGCATCCGCATGTCAACCCTCTCCTTTTGAGATACGCTTTCGCTAATACTAGACTAGTCAAAGAAGCCTCAGAGCTTGCATCGAATGCCTCTTCAGACTACCATGCCGAACCCTTAGAAGACAACCTCTTTGAATGGCATTTCACACTTTGCGGACCGCCCGCTCCCTCCCCATATGATGGCGGCATCTACCACGGCCGTATAGTTCTTCCACCGACATACCCTCTACGCCCGCCCTCGTTCCGTTTCCTCACGCCCACCGGCCGCTTCGAAGTCAACCGAGAGATTTGCTTATCGATAAGTGGGCACCATGAGGAGACTTGGCAGCCAGCATGGGGAATCCGGACTGCCATGGTTGCTATAAGGAGCTTCATGGATACGGATGCAAAGGGCCAACTAGGTGGTATAGAATGCAGTCCTCAGATTAGGAAGCGTATGGCGGGAGAGAGCGGAAAATTTCGGTGCGGCGTCTGCGGCCGATCGAATGCCGACATAATGAAAGAGCGGGAAGAGGCCGCGAAGTTGATAGAAGCCAAAGAGGGCAAGAAGAAGGAAGAAACCGTGCCCGAGGAGCTGAGACTGGCGTATCGAGATGAGCTGGAGGGGTCTGGGCCTGGAGGAGAGCCAGCGCAAAGCCCTCAGACAGGATCGAAAGGCAAGGAGAGAGGTCAGGGCCTACTGTCTGCATCCCCTCTTCCAGCACAAGCTAGGGCTCCTCCAGCTCTACCTACCAACGCGACATCTCCTACCCCGATTAGGACAGTTCAACCTCCCCCAATGCAGCAGCTCGTCCACCAGCAACCTGATCGCTCTCTAGCCTGGATCGATGCCTGCATATATGGCGTTGTTGGAGCATTGCTCTTTTTGATGTTACGAAAGTTCCTCTAGAACACCATATTATTCCTGTGTTCTCCATACTTAAGGGAAGTGCTGATAGACTTCCTTGGGTTACTATAGACTTTGCAGATCCAATCTTCTTACAATGTGCTGAGGAAGGACATTAGTGTCGGTGATATCAATAAGTAACGATTTCTTGCAGCAATTATTCTCCTTAGCTTGAAGTATGATAGTAAGACGTTTCTTTGATTTCCAATAATGTCCAGGCGGAAGATTTAATTGCTTTCTATCACAGGTCTATTCTTAGTCTCTTTACTAGTGACCCACTTTCCTTCATAAACCGACATCAACATGCTTAACACTCAAGAACTTAGTGTTCCCATTCGACACAACCCTCTTCGCATGTGCGTTGATTCCATGATAAACACCTTTAATCTCCTCCTCTCACAACCATAGCCACTCCCCTCACGCTACTTCGAGTCACAGAACAATCCCCCTCCGTCCCCCTCGAGCGTGGCGCTGGCATACACTGTTTACTCTGCCCAAAACTATAAGTCTCACCTTCCCTGACTGTACACACGACCTTTTCGATCCAACTCCCCCTTTGTCTACTCTCTGTCATACCGCACTCATAGTTACCCCTATTATTAGCGCAATATGGCGACATTCTCGCCATCCTCTCGACAGTACAATTCAATAAAGCAAGAGCACAGATCAAACGGCTGCAATAACCATGGGCCTCTCCAACTTCGTACGCTACGTCATCGGGTGGATCACTGGTACTCCGATATAGCAACCTAATATTAAAGACCTTACTAAAAAAGTTATCACTCTGGCTTCAGAACAGAAGAAACGTTGCTGGTGCAAAGGCTTCCACGTTCGACACGACAGCACCCATGAAGACTATCCGAGGACGCCCCAGACGATTTCGCCCCTGTAGTTGCCGGCGTCCAGCTCTTGTCTGAGAGCTATTGGGTCAACAACGAGAATATAATGACCTCCAGAAATATCAACAAGTAGCTATGAGAGAAGCATTAATGCACCGATCCTCGAGCATGTTCCACGCATCAACGATATTGAGGCTCCAGTAACGGCTCCACACACACACACACACACACACACACACACGAACCGGAGAACAGCCATAAGATCCGGGACAATAAGGCCAAGGCCCGAGACGACACCATTAACGATTCCGTCATAAATTCTTCAGGTTTATTGCCCACCAATGGATAGTCCGGAAATTCTTGGCAAGCGCGCTCTTTATGACGCTACTGGACGCTGCGCAGCGGGAACCGACCTATGAACCTCTGATCACTAATGCCTTAACAGGTTTGTGAAGACTTGAGTAGGCGAAGAAGGGGGTCCGAAGAGGGTTAGAGAGGAGGTTAAGAAAGTTTCAAATAAGGATTTGAAACTGGGCATCTCAAGTTGCTCGGTTGAGGAGATGTTGTCTTGTTTGTGGGGTTTCCTGTTGTGATGAAAGTTTGACTGTGGTTTTGATTTTCTTTCTTGCATGGCTCCTCTTGCATGCCTTTGGTTTCTACGTGCTTTTATCATGGCTTTCCTGTCTTCACGGCTTCAATGTATCTATAGCTTTTGGTTTTTTTTATGACTCTTCTTCATGGCTTTGTTTCCTCGTGGCTTTGATTTTTATATTGCGTTTGCTTCTGTATGGCTTGACTTCCAGTATAAAGTTCATGTTTATATGAGTTCTTTGACATGAAGTATGGGTTGTTCGACCGGATACTTTTTTGTCTTACTTAAGATCGTAAGATAGCGGAGATGAGATTATATTATAGGACAACTCTCTAATAGCCTTAAAATGTAGAATCTTTCCATGGCAGTGCCTTAATGTTCGATTGAGCGTGAATTATGGGCAAAATAGCATTGAGAAGCCACTTATGGTCAGCCCATCGAGTCTCTATCACCACAGCCACACAGCAATGCTCTACAAACAAATGACCTACGATGATCACCATTTTCTACTATGCTGTAAACCTTTCTTATCAGTGATGGCTGGCATACTAATAGCGGCACTTCCACCAAAATCTTCATAAACAACACTGAGCCCCGCAAACCCCAATTCCTCCACACCCTCGACTATGTCATATCAACGCCCAATGTCATAACAATTATCCGCAAAATGAAAGTCAAGAGCTCCTTTCGCTCCCTTGTAGGAGGACCTTGGTCTACTCCCCAATCGCCGGCATAGAAAGGACAGATTCGCACCCATAAAGATGGAGGATGAAAACAATGTCTGTTAAGAAACCTGTTTAGCAGACATTTCGAGGTGGTGCGACCAAGAAAAACAACCGCTACCGTGATACTCTCGCAGATTTATTCTACTTCGTTGGTAAGTAGCCAAAAACACCATCAGGACCTCTTCGGGGGCCATTGAGCAACCCAAGAATAGTCCCTATGGACGTACTGGAGCCTAGAGTAGAAGGATATATCTTCAATTGCCGTCAGCTATCCTTCAAGACTAAAGTCCAGGTACTGCAGCTTATCGAGCAACTTCCTCTCGATGAGCTGTAACTAATTGGCTGCGCACTTGTACGCTCCTACAACACTCCTAGTACTCCTATTTAAGTCCCCGTTGCACTGCCGGATACCCCACCGAATTTTCACACTCTACCCAAATGCCAACAACCCTTGACTTGCACTAAACCATCTAACTTCAATCCCCTTGCCTATGGACTCCGCAACATCACATCTCCCAGCACCCAATCTCTACCCTAACCCTATTTCGATGCCAAATTCTAACTTAATCATGACAATCAATGTCATCCCGCTCAAGGCAGGAGACGTTCTATGTCAAACCGAGGACCACATAACGGGGAGCGGGCCATCACGAAGCGAACCCGGGTTGCAGATGCCACACTGCCGTTTACCTCTGTCAGCAATTTTCTATCTTCATCAAGTCCTCGAAATATTGTTTAGCAAATCGATGTCGTTTTGATTTACAGTAGTAGTATCATAGGTATCGATTCGATGCCAACCTTTGGTCTCGCGACTTGTCAATTGTTTGGCCATGAATCTATCGCTTTCGAGAATGCAAAATGTCGGATATCTTTCGCGGATAGTTTGGCGCCATGGAATCAGCGGCGGTCCGACTTCAAACGAGCCCTCGCAACGACGATCGCATTTTCTAGATATGAACCTCGAAAAGCTCCAGTCGTATCGTCTTGGTGTTGACGATTGTTGCGGAGTTAGAGTCCCCATGAAGAGAATTTACCACGTCTTTTGGGATTCACATTAGGAAGGAGCTTCCTTTCCACAACAAAGTAGGTGCGCGTTGATGGTAGTGAGGATGCGTTTGATTCATTCACTTCGCCGCCGCCCTCACGCTTACTTCCCAAGATGCGCTATCTCCCTTTTGTTCATCTCGCTTTGGGACATTCACTCGCATTCACGGGTATGGCGTCCTATTGGGGGGTCATATCCTACCGTGGGACATACAAACTCGCGCCTTCTTACTCTCCCAACAACCGACCTTCCTACCACTTCCCAGCCTTGATCCTACGGCTACACAGGTGGACTCGGCATGGTGATCTCGCCTGTTTCCTAGTTCAAGGTCGTTGTGTCCCACCAGACCCATTTTCTGTCCACAAATATGGGGACCCATGATGGGAGCAATTTGGTTAAAAAACGAAGCTGGCGAAATCTCAAGGCTGGCTTCAAGCGAGGTTTTCGATATGTTGGATTTCTCTCAGTATACCCCGGCCACGGTAGCTCCCTTCATCAAACCCAATCGGACAATAAGACTGCGATCGAACCCGTTACGCGATCTGTCCTTGCGGAAGGCACTCGCTTGGAAGTAATCACCGAGTCGCGTGGAGGATCCCTCGATTCTCCTCTCAAAAGCAGACCGAGCGGGATACGGTGTCTGAGGCACTCGTTCTCCTTCAGCAGGGCACGTTCTAGTGAACACGATGCGCCAACTTTCCATTTGGAGCATGCTGGCCACGTAGCTCGGGCTAGGAGAAGGGCTGGAGTCCAGAATCCTGAAGTCGCGATCGTTCAGCGCCCTCTATCTACCCCTGAGATTAGCAAGATTGTCGACGCGATCCTGAGATTATCCCCTGTCCAACGCGTCGCGCTCATCCAGCGATTTGTATACGACACGATATATGGCGAGATTGGCGATAAGTCGGTGCACCTTCTCCACGAGTTTCATCTCCATTTCCATACTAAGCTACCGATGCCAACGGATGCTGAGCCGTGGAGTCTTCGAGAAAGAAAAGTTTTCCGCAGATATGCACTTATCTCGCGCCTCTTATATCAGCTTTGGGGACTCGATACGATGGACGCAGACGTCCAATCAGCTCTTCACATTGCGATGCTTCTCCGACATCAGCTCTTTCCCAAGGACGAGGGTTCCCGCCTTCCGAATGATGAATTCTCCGAGCATGTACATCGGTGGAGGGAAGACGGTCGTCTAACTGACAATGACGTACGACAAATTCTACTGCTACAGCCAGAGTACGACAGCGATGCGCCGAGCGATATCGAAGACGCATTTTTTGACGGCTCCACCACTCCAGAATTCCACGACTATCTTCGAAGGCACCCAGACGTGAGAATAAATGACTACGGAGAACGTATTGCCGATGAGGAGGGCCTGCTAGTGTCCATGAGAGCGATTGGTATAACAAAATCCGATTTGGCCGAGTCGATGGAGGACCCCGGTCGCACCGACTCTCGCGCGGATGAATCAGTCATGGGGTACGAGGAGTACATGGCAGGAGATAGACAACAGGGAGAGCTTGCGATTCAACCACTGTCGATCGCAAAGCGTCGAAGTGATAGGGCGATGTGTTCTTCCCTTCGAATCATCGAAGAAGAGGATGGACTAGAAGAGTCACGCACTGCGCAATCCTTCTCGACGTCTTCTAATACTTGCCCGTCTCAGCACTTGGCCCGGCGGAGCGACCTCTCGTTCGTCTCAACAACTAGCGGCACTTCGTACAGCGCGATGATCGGCACAGGAGGAACTTTGCATTTTGACGGGCAGGATGGTAATGGTAATGGTAATGGTAATGGTAATGGTAATGGTAATGATACAATGGCCAAGCCTTCGGTCGACGATATGCTGGACTTTGTCTGGTCTCTGAAGACAGCTCGGGAAATGGAAATGGAAGTGGGAGAAGCTGAGGTATTAGTGCATGGCTGGCTGAAGTGATGAATATAACAACCAGGAAATACACTGGAATTGATTAATGCACGATGCGCTCGTCGTGAGGATACAACAGTAGGTTATCGCAGGGGAGGTTTTTCTTCCAGTATTTTCGTCCGTATTTCCTCTGCTGTTTGACTTTCCCATGCTTCGGTCGGAAATGCCGTCCTTCTTATGTGACCAATCTAAAATTGGCACCGTGCGACAAATTGTTTTTGCTTAGCCACATTCCCCCCTAACGGTTGCAATACGAGGGTTGCACTGCCGAAGGATTGTCGTCCAAACAAGATGGCACGACAAGCTCGCCCGTTTTCTGAGCGTTCGAGTAAGTTACCCCTTCGAGTCAGGCCCGATCCGCACCAAACCCCATCCAGCGCCCGCTTCATGAGAGGCTGAACATCTGGCCAGCGCCGCCACAAATACGTTTCAGGGAGCTTCCGGAATGGATGACTGATGCACGGCGCGGCGCTGCACCTTCAGGGAGGTAAATTTGCCCGAGCTAGAACCCCTCGTTGTTGAGACTCCCAGTCCGTCGTTCTTCATCTCTCTTTTTGCGTCTACATTTTTTTGCAGATCGCATTCAATCGCCCGCCATGCTCATGACGGCGCGTTCGAAGTTCTCAAGGAGACCGCTCCGCTTTCTTCTTCCTGTCGTCGTTTTTCTCTTCGTTGCCTTTTCTTTGTCGCGTTCCTCACGCCAGTCCCCTTCCGCGTCGCCCTTTTATTCCAAGAAGACCAAGTCGTTCTTCCCGCCCCTGAGCAGTCCCAGCATCGGTGACCCGAATCCCGACTTTTGTAAAGGGTTTCCTACAAAGCTTCTCGACGACATTCAAATTGTGCTCAAAACCGGTGCCGGCGATGCTGCGAAAAGCAAGGCGCATCTCGCGACTGTCACCTCCTGCATCACTAATCTGATCGTCGTTTCAGACCACACGGAGAAGATCGGCGACCACGAAGTCATTGACATTCTCGCAGAGCTACCTTCTTCCTATGCAGTCAACAGCTCTGATTTCGAGGCCTATGCTAGGAATAAAAAAGCGCAGGAAGAAGGAAGCGCCGTCGGCTATTCTAGAGAAGGCTGGAAACTCGACCGCTTCAAATTCTTGCCTATGGTTGACAAGGCCCACGAAGTTAATCCGCGTGCCAAGTGGTACGTCTTTTTAGAGTCGGATGTCTATTACTTCTGGGACACGCTCTTCCGCTTGCTGGACCAGCTCGACCCTAATGACCCACATTACATGGGATCTCCGACCGCTGGATCTGACGGCCGGTGGTTCGCGTACGGCGGCGCTGGATTCGTTTTGTCTCAGGGGCTGATGAAGAAATTAATCCCGGACAAGGGGAAGGGAGGGTCCGATAGCATTGCCCACAGGCCGTTGAGCGTCCGCTACGAAGATTGGGTGAAAGCGGACTGTTGCGGAGATGCGGTACTGGGGTACGCAATCTTAAATGCAACGGGAACGAAGATGGAATCGCTCTATCCGACGTTCTCCGGCGACGAGTTGAAGTCGTTGAAAGTAGACAAAGAGCGATGGTGCGTCCCTTTGTTGTCCCTGCATCGGGTGTCGCCGGAGCAAATGGAGTCTCTGTGGAAATGGGAGAGGTGAGCACTACCCCTTCCACTGCACTCCTTCCCAGGCTAATCATTGACCTGTAGGACTCGGCCATACACTCAAAAAACCTTCGTCTACTCCTCCCTCCTTGCCTACACCCATTCCCACCTCCGCGACGGCCCGACCCTTGAATTCTGGGACAATCATTCCGAAGCCCCGCAACCCAACGACCGTCCCTGCCACAAATCAGCCTCATCATGTGGCTCCGAGTGTGCAAAAGACGCGAACTGTCTACAATACTCGTATTCCCAGACGGTGTGCCGATTCGCGCCATACATAAAGCTAGGAAACAGCGTGGATAAGGAGAATGGCGGACAAGGAGAATTCATCTCCGGATGGGAGCTTGAAAAGATGGCGAAGTTGGGGTTTAAGATTGAAGAGGATATTCATGATACTTGTGAAGAGGCTACGTGGCTTGCACCGCAAATTCGGTGATAATAGGCAGGCAGAGGTAAAGACGGCGACAGTTCACTTGCAAGACAGACATGGACTTGGGTAAGCATGAGCATGAGAATACATTGAGGAGAATAAACACACATGGATGATCGATTGATTGATCTTGCTTAAATGGAGTTTGGGCTATAGGCTGGGACTTGCATGGACTGTTTTGCGATACCCACAGACTACTTAATTATAGTATCTTGTAAAATCTCGTGGATTGGTTGGGATTTGTTTGTGGACGTGCTGAATACTGGAGCAGCAGACCGAATGATCAGCTCCCTACAAGCGCAGCACTAGTCATTCCCTCGTTCGAATACCATCTCGCGAGGACCCAACATGCACATCCAGAACCGCCCCTGGCCGTTCTTCCCTTCCCTACTCCGCCGGATTCCCCTCCTTCGACGGCAACGCGTCCTTGATATAGAACAGAAGGCTCGGAGGTCGGGGCACCGCTTTCCCCGCATCCTGGAACACGGTAACCTTTTCGACCACCTTGGCTCCCATCTGTCGTTTATGAGATGAAAGCAAAAATGCCACACCGACACCATTCGGCGCCGCCAGAATGGCTTTCCCTTGATCTGTGTCCATGCCAAACGTCACGCCCGGCCATGTCGTCAGCTTGTTCCCCGTTGTCGAAATAGCGCGTGAGATGATGGCCTGCGTTGTGGTGTTCTCCACTGGTGTAGAAAAGACGTAATGAAGGTTTCTAGGATTCGTCGTGCAGGTGAGTCCCCACCATTGCAGGAAAGCAATATCGGACCAAGACTTCAGTCTTGGGAGGACGGTGACGGGCGGCGTTTTCTTGGACCCCATGTACCCAGGGCTGTATTTCCCCCAGGCAAATATTACTATCGACTCATCAGCACAGCACTGTTTCTACACTGGAGTGAGGTGGGTTGAAAGGGATGGCTTGACTCACCACCGTCAACCGGATTCAGCACAGTCGTATATCGAGCTTCAGTGACCTATATTTCAGTCAGCACAAGTCTGTTATTGGAGTAACACCCCCCACCCCAATCCTTACAGGATACGTCGTTCCATCTATTATCTTCTCAACATCATGCTCCCACACCCAGGCCCAGTTGTTTCCACCATTCTCTCCGAACTTCTTGTCGCTGACGCCAAGGTCGTTTAAAGCCGGCTTGAGGGGGAGGGAGTTGTCGAAATCGTAGTAGGGATCGTAGTCGAGTTGACTGTACCCCCATTTGTCGAGGTCCTCTGTACTTTTGTTGGTCTCATTCTCATTCCAATCATTTCTCCAAATTTGGAGTGGAAAGACGGAACTGGCGGTGGTACTAACGTGGATAAGTCAGGAACTCTGACTCCGCCGATTCTCGGGGTGGCCTGAACATTTGGCCGGCGTCGTGGTCGTTCGCTAGCATCTGCTTCATTAGCGTTTTACCCTTGTACACCGCTTTGTTCCAGGCATCGTCTGAGGGGTTGGGAGGGTCACCACCGCATACGCGCACAAACAGGGGTTGAGATATGCTGAAGTTAGGTGTGACGACTCCGTAGTACGCGGAAAGCGCGGTTGTGATGGCCACGGGATTTCCGACGATGCTGCATACTGGAGCGGCGACGCTCAGGCTTAATCTGAAGAACTTCATGATCCCGAGATGGAATGCGGGAATGGTTGCATGTGAGATTGAGATTTGAGGTTAGCCGGTCTTATTAATGACGATATTTTCGACGGCCTGTAGCGGTTTATATAGGATTAGAGGGCGTGCATCAATGTGGACCACGAGAAATTTTCGAGCGCGTAACGATGCACTGCGTATGTTGCGAGAGAGCTTTAGTGGGATTTACTAACTCTCCAGCGCCTCAAGAACATTGACCTTGAAGTTGTGATCGAGTTCTTTTTCGTATAATGTAGATCCGTATATTTTTCGATCCGCGGTATTGGGTGAGTGCGATCGTACGGCGCAATGCTGTGCACAGGCTTGACATTTGTCCAGTTTGTACGAGTCTTTAGGCACAATGAAGATATCGTTTGCCCACAAGTTCAAAATAGTGGAATGATATATCCTCGAAGGTGCATAGGATGTAGCAGAAGAGCGAGAATCCAGTTATGCAGAGGGTGAAGCAATAACAAGTGAAATAGAGTCCCTAGGGACAACTCCAATCAAAAATTGCTATCCCGCTGCTTGGTTGCTACAGTATGTGCTTCCGAGTCTGTCGTGCAAGCAATGCATACCGAAAACCACATTCTCTCCGACTGACTCCACATATTCACGCATTGCCATGTGGCACGATGGTATCGAAAGATCGATGATTAAAACTACGGGGAACGCCAGGGAATGTGGCATTTCTGTGCATCGACCAAGATAGCGTATATTAGTCTAATTGACTCCCAAGATCATAAAATGAGGAGGATGTTGTTCTGGACATCTCACAAAGCCTAATAATACCGATGCGAACCTCGAAATTTGGGTTGATGTCTTCCCCAACGACCACAGCTGACAAAAAAAGACGCCCTAACATGTCGCAGCCCACGTACCATAGCACTGCTATGCGAATTATCATTAAAAAAAAGAATATCCCTCGAATAAGCAGTTGGGCAGTTGAACTCCCATGACGCGACCGCCTCTTACTACGATGCCATTGAGAAGTGGCTTCGTTAGGAAGAGAAAGTGGGCCTCTCAAATGTGAGGTCCGTTCCGTTGGAGATTTAGAAGAAGTTTATTCTCGATACATGGTCTAGAAGTATATTCTAGGCATGTGAAATTACTTCTGTCTCCCAGATAGGGATGGGCATGACTCAGAGAGGCACACATAAATCCAATCAAGTGACCCGACGCTAGTCACATTATCATATCCGCCAATCTCATCAAGCGTGTTCTTCGGAAAGGAGAATTCAAAGCTTTGAAGTAATGTTGGCGAAGACTTCTTACACCGTCGTGTATTTTCAGGCACGACGGCGTATTTCAAATCGTACTCCTACCAACAGATTCGCGCCTCTATGCCATAGGGAACGTTGCAATCCAATAGTTGCCCCGGAACAAAACACTACGCCGTATTTGTGTTCTAAGACTTCTCAATCCGCCAAACCTCTTCGCCATTTCCCGGCTTCAAAATTTACTCATGTAAAATACCTATCAAGCTCACCAAGCTCATGAAGTCAAAGATTTCCCCTGGCAACCACCGACTCCCTTTTAACTAACACAGCAATGTTGGACTATAGAGCAGCGCCAATCCCTGGTCCAACTTGAGATATGTCTTTTCTCATATTAGCGCACTCCGCGTTCTACCGGCCCACAATGAAATAACAGGCAAATACGCACTCTAGGCATCGGCCGTAGCATCCTTGAAGCCCTCCTGGTCTGTCTAAACAATACCGTTATCACCGCTATCCGCGATTACAGCGCCCTCAACTCCAAATATCTCACTCCGATCCCCACAACCTCCGGCAGCAAACTCATCACTATCAAATCGGGGCTAAACCCGGGATTGGATTACGCCAACCCACTCACGGCATAACACACATTAACACTGTCATCGCGAACGCGGACACCGGCGCCAAAATCGGTCCGATCCTGTCCGCCTCCCCGGCTGCCGTGCGTACCATCAACGCCAATGTCGTCGGCATGCGCACTACCTCCAAGCCACAGAATTGCTGCTGTGCTTGTCTCGTAGTTTAACAAAATTAAATTTTACACTCTCTTCAAACCTAGGCAGCTTAGGCCGGATAGGATGGCTCCCGGCCCATATTTCACGTACGGCTTCGCTGAGCCACTTGACACGCAAGATCCACTTTGAGAAGAAGAGGTTGATTAGTGTGGCGTTGAGCCCCGGTTAGGGATAGACAGATATAGGGATGTTGGCAGTGAATGCAGTGGGTGTAGTAGGTTCTCTCCTCTTTCTTTCCCTCCTATACCCATTTCAATGCGGGCAATGGTGAGTACGGAATTTTAGATTGATTGCGCGACTCAGGGCACCACGTTGGGGAGATTCATGTCTTGTGAGGGACAGTCCGTTCCGCGGTAGTATTGACTATCCCTTTCACCTGGGCATGTCTTGATACATAGAACTGTGATGAACTTCTCTTGGTCACAAAGCGCGAGTTTGTAATTCCTCAATAATGTGCACTGTTATTTCCATCAGCACTCTTTCAACGCTTCCGGTCCAACCACCACCATAAATGATGGCGCTTGCAATTTGCAAAGAGCGAGATAGCCCAGATATCTCTTCAAATAACACTTATCATAACCCAAGTCTATTCGTCACAAAATACGTCTAATACCAATGCTTCTGCTTCAAATCTTCATGATCTCCCTTAGCATCGATATAAGTTCAATCAGCATTGCTGTTTGTTGTCTAAAATCAACTAATTGTAGGGATCTCGTCAAGTTGCTTGAGCGAGAGGTAGCAGCTGCTTTGAACTAATTGAAGTGGCCTATTAAGATCATCCATCTTCAGGGAGGAAACAACCAGAGCATAGAGGTCTATTGATGGTATTGTCTCCTAGGTCTCCTGTTCTCATGGCAGTGATGGTTCCGTGATCCACCCAATCTCTGTGATGAGAACTTTGAGTTCACGGGCAGTACGGATGAAGTTCCATGGCCCTCGCGTTGAAGCGCTTTTGGCTCAACTGCAACAATCATATCTCATGATTCAAGCCCAAGAGTCCAAGAATGTTTCTACTATGCCGCCAATAAAGCCACACATGTTGGGCAGGAGGACGTCTGCTACCCGCGAGCCCCTTTTCTTTGTTCGGGGATGTGCGGGCGTAAACGGACATGGGCGGCGATATCGGGCTCAATGATGCTGTAGCCTGCCCCGGTATAAGTCAAAACTTTTCCAGAATATTTGTTTCATTTTTCTTGCACTCTTCTTTCATAACACTATTCCCACCGTCAGTTGCTCCTGTTTCATTCTCCGGGCGCGTCTTCTCACCAGCCACCACAACCTGTCTCGATTTCACATTGCGGTGGCATAAATCCTCCAGAAGAGCCAGATCAATCCTCCCAGCTCGATAGGGCACCATGTCGACGCCGTTAGGGAATTTTGGAAACCCATTACCCCCGGGACGGGCTACGTTGGAGACATATACCGACGGGACTCAACCGGCTAGACCTAAATCGATGGAGTCACAGCATTCCATGGTGCAGGAGCTTGCACGTGAATACACGCGTAACTCAGCCGTGAGTTTGGAGGGCCCTGAAGGCAAACCCATTTTTGGAAGCAATGACCTAAATTCTCCCCTGAATCCGCACGGAGAGAAATTCAACGCGCGCGCGTGGGCCACGCATATCGTCAAAACCACTGAGGAACGCGGCCAGAGCTTCCGCCGTGTTGGACTGTGTTTCCAAAATCTGAACGTGTTCGGGTATGGCACGCCGACCGACTTCCAAAAAGATGTCGGCAACGTTTGGCTAGCTCTGCCAGGTATGGCCCGCCGCCTCTTCTCCAGCACTGCAGGCCACACCCGAATCGATATTCTGCGCCAGTTTGATGGACTCATCCGCCCCGGTGAGATGTGTGTTGTCTTGGGTCCACCTGGTTCTGGTTGCTCGACCTTCCTGAAGACCATCTCCGGAGAGACGAACGGCATCCACGTCAATAAGGCTTCGTACTTCAACTACCAAGGCATATCCGCCAATGAAATGCACACTGCGCATCGAGGTGATGCCATCTACACTGCTGAGGTCGACGTTCACTTTCCTCATTTGACAGTTGGGGAGACATTGACTTTTGCATCACGTGCACGCTGCCAAAAGGAGCTGCCGCAGGGCATTAATCGGAATGAGTATGTTCTTTCAGTCTTTTGGTCCCCTTTATCTTGTAACCAGGTATTGATAGCACTCTTATAGCTACTGTGAGCACCTTCGAGATGTCGTCATGGCCATGTATGGCATTAGCCATACGATCCATACCAAAGTGGGAGACGAGTATACACGAGGAGTTTCGGGAGGAGAACGCAAGCGTGTCACCATTGCCGAAGCGACTCTGGCACACGCCCCATTTCAGTGCTGGGACAAGTGAGTGACACCCCTGAGTGCTTCTCTTCGTAGACGGGAATATACACTTACCACCAACTGAAGCTCAACGCGTGGTCTAGACTCTGCCAATGCGGTTGAGTTCTGTAAGACCTTGAGGCTCCAGTCTGAGTTGTTTGGCCAGACATGCGCTGTATCCATGTACCAGGCACCCCAGAGCGCGTACAATCTGTTTGATAAGGCGCTGCTTCTCTATGAGGGACGCCAGATCTACTTTGGGCCTGCATCCAAGGCCAAGGAGTACTTCATAAATCTTGGGTTTGAGTGTCCGGCACGTCAAACAACGCCTGACTTCCTCACATCCATGACTTTTCCGGCAGAGCGCATCACTCGCCCCGGTTGCAACCCGCCGCGCACTCCTGACGAGTTTGCAGACGCCTGGGGGAACAGCCATGAATATAAGGCCCTGCAAGTCGAAATTGATGAATACAAGACGCAACATATGATAGGTGGCCCTGACGCTGAGACGTTTCGACAACTCAAGAAGTCACACCAGGCCAACGGACAGCGACTTAAGTCGCCATACACCCTGACGTACGCTCAACAGGTCCGGCTGTGTGTTTGGCGCGGCTTTAGGCGACTAAGGGCAGATCCCTGGCAAACCATCGGGATGATGATAGGAACTACGATCATGGGTCTTATTATGTCGTCCTTGTTCTACAACATGGGCAACAATACGGGCACATTTTATGGCCGCGCTGTTGTCCTCTTTATGGCCATATTGTTCAATGCCTTCTCCTCTATGCTCGAGATTCTGACGCTGTACGCTCAACGGCCAATCGTGGAAAAGCAGTCCCGTTATGCGTTCTACCATCCCTCCGCCGAATCATATGCCTCCGTCTTGGTTGATTTGCCAATGAAAATCCTCAACGCAGTCTCCTTCAACTTGGTGTTTTACTTCATGACCAACCTTAATCGAGGGTCCGGTCCCTTCTTTTATTACCTGATGGTGGTGTTTCTTATTGTTATGGCGATGTCAGGAATCTTTAGATCTGTGTAAGTTGTCCAGACAATGAAAAAACGCACAGAGAAGCCCTGACATATTTTCAGCGCCTCGCTGTCACGGACCGAGCAGCAGGCTATGGTTCCCGCGTCGATTATGCTGCTTGCCCTACTTATCTTTACCGGATTCGTCGTCCCAGTTGACTACATGCCGAGCTGGTGTCGGTGGATCAATTATGTGAACCCCGTAGCCTATGGCTATGAATCGCTCATGGTCAACGAGTTTCACGGACGTAACATTTCGTGCTCCACCTATATTCCTGATTACGCAAACGCTAGTGCGGGCAATGTAGCCTGCGACGCTGTTGGCGCTGTCCCCGGTCAGCCCTATGTGAACGGGGACGACTATATCAACTCAGCATACAGCTACTACCATAGCCATAAATGGCGCAATATCGGCATCATTGTCGCGATGGCTGTCTTTAATCACCTAGTATACTTCATCGCCAGTGAATACATCACAGCGAAGAAATCTAAGGGTGAAGTTCTTGTCTTCCGTCGAGGCTTCATTCCACCATCTTCCGCCAAGGGTGGTGATGATATCGAGAAGTCGCTCTCGAGCCCTGTACCAGCCATAGGGAAACCCGAAGGGTACATATCCAGCAAAGAGGGAGCCTTCCGAGGCTCCACAAGCGTCTTCCACTGGAACAATGTGTGCTACGACATCAAGATTAAGGGCCAACCTCGACGCATCCTAGATCACGTCGATGGCTGGGTTAAACCTGGTACACTCACGGCCCTGATGGGTGTTTCGGGGGCTGGAAAGACAACCCTCCTTGATTGTTTGGCTGATCGTCGTGTGGGTGTGGGTATCATTACTGGCGAGATGCTGGTAGATGGGAAGATGCGTGATGAGAGCTTCCAACGCAAGACTGGCTATGCCCAGCAGCAAGATCTACATCTTTTGACTAGTACTGTCCGAGAGGTGAGGTTGTATTTAGTACCCTTGACCCATTCTTGATTTCAACGAGATGAACACTTCTCTCTGCCATTTTAGCTCCCTTGGGGCACATGGGCTGACTTCGCATCACAGGCTCTGAAATTCTCAGCTCTCCTGCGCCAGCCCGCTAGTATCCCGAAAGAGGAAAAGCTGGCCTACGTGGACGAAGTCATCAAGCTACTGGATATGCAAGAGTATGCCGATGCCGTTGTTGGTGTGCTAGGTGAGGGTCTCAACGTTGAGCAACGCAAGCGCTTGACAATTGGTGTCGAATTGGCTGCTAAGCCACCAGTCCTGCTCTTTGTTGATGAGCCCACGTCGGGTCTTGACTCTCAGACTAGCTGGGCTATCTTAGACTTGCTAGAAAAGCTCTCTAAGGCAGGCCAGTCTATCCTCTGCACCATCCATCAACCCTCCGCAATGTTGTTTCAACGGTTCGAACGTCTACTCTTACTCGCCGAGGGAGGTCGTACAGTCTACTTCGGTTAGTAGCTGGCTGAAATCCATTGCTCCATCTCCCCTTGTGATTATCTTCCCTCCTCAAGACGGTACATGAGGTCTGAGCAATACTGACCAGGGACTATTAGGGGAGATTGGCGACAACTCCAAGATTCTCACGGATTACTTCGAGCGCAACGGCGCACCACCTTGCCCACCCGGCGCCAACCCGGCTGAGTGGATGCTCGAGGCAATTGGTGCTGCCCCTGGCAGTTTCTCCGAAGTTGACTGGTACCAAACTTGGCGTTCCAGCCCGGAGTACCAGACCGTCCAGGACGAATTAGCACGTCTCAGAGCCCTACGTACAGGTCGGCAGTCCACGGACGAGAATAGTGACCCCGCTTCATACCGTGAGTTTGCTGCACCGCTCTGGAGGCAATTTATTGTTGTTACACAACGTGTTTTCCAACAGTACTGGCGGGCACCCTCTTATATCTACTCCAAACTTATCCTCTGCATTTCCAGCAGTTTGTTCGTTGGCCTGGTGTTTCTGAACGCTCCTCTAACTATCCAAGGGCTTCAAAATCAAATGTTTGCCATCTTTGAACTGTGCAGCATCTTCGGGCAGCTGGTAGATCAACAGATGCCGCAGTTCGTTACGCAGCGCGCCCTGTACGAGGTCCGCGAACGGCCTGCCAAAACGTACTCCTGGAAGATTTTTATGCTCAGCCAGATTGTTGCCGAGATTCCCTGGAATACGGTTGCTTCAGTCTTCATGTGGGCGCTTGTTTACTACCCTGTTGGCTTTTATAAGAATGCCGATGCCACTGGGCATGGCGTAGAACGAGCCGGATTGATGTGGCTTCTATTTTGGCAGCTTCTCCTTTTTACCTGCACCTTCGCACATATGTGCATTTCCTTTGTTGATACAGCCGACGAAGGCGGGAACGTCGCTAATTTTCTCTTTATTCTGATTTTCTTTTTCTGTGGTGTGTTGGCCACGCCAGATGCAATGCCTCGTTTCTGGATTTTCCTGTACCGGGTCTCGCCATTATCGTACTGGATCTCGGCCGTTCTGTCCACAGGCCTGGCCGACGTTGAGGTGACGTGTGCGAGCAACGAATGGACGAACCTCAACCCACCGGACGGCCAGACATGCGGCGACTATATGGCGGACTACATCTCGAGGGCGGGGGGCTACCTGATGGACCCCAAAGCAACGAGCGACTGCAATTACTGCAAGATCAAGGACACAAACGTATTCTTGTCGGGCATCAGTTCTAACTACGGGAACAGGTGGCGCAATTTTGGCATCATGTGGGTGTTCATCACGTTCAACATTGTCGCGGCGTTGGCTCTTTACTGGCTGGCAAGGATGCCGAAAGGGAAGAAAAAGGTGTGAGAGGCCGCAAGGTATTAGATGACCGTAGACTGGGGATGGGCTAGTGATAGACGCGACGTGCTTGTCGTATGCTTGTATTTTTTTCGTCCTCGGAATCTCCACTATTAGCTTGTAGACAGGTAGAAGAGCTCACCTGCTTACGCAACTGACTCGCTTATGCAACACTAAATTGTTTTCCACAAACTAACTTTAAAAATTAATAACTTAACAACTATAATAGATCTTAAGGAGATAATTAATTTAATTACTTTACTACTTTTTACTAAATAAAATAAGTTATAAATTAAGCTAAAAAAACATTATTTAACTATGTAGCACTATTAGAAAGGAATTACTAGCTTAAAACATAAGGGCTATAAAAAGTAATGTTTATTTAGAGCTTAAAACACTAAGACCTTTATTAAGCATATAAATTGCCTAACACTTTAAGGGCTACTACCTACTAAAGCTATAGTTTAAAACTTTATTAAAAAGCTTTTTAATACGCTGCTAGGCAAGAACTATATTTAGAAGTTTTTTAAGCATAACTTTAATTAATTAACATTAGCTTATTTTAGGCTATTTAATATTAAGCGTAAACACGCTAATAGCCTTGCTTAGATAGAGCCTTTCTATAACTAATTAGAAAAGAAAATTAAGAAGTATAGTGTACAGCTATATAATATATACAACATAGATAAGAAAAGCTTTTTACTAAGTATCTTTATAATAATAAAGCAAATCTTTATAAAGGAACTATAAAAGAATAGCTACTTAAAGAGTGCTAGCACTAATAGCAATTGTAAGTAGATTACAGTACTAGCTACTATCTGCGCTAATAGCAGCTAGGTACCTCTAGCTCTTATCTATTCTGCTAGAAATAAGGCCCTAATTGTAACGGCGCAGGCAAGACAATGGGTCCGAATGCGGTATGAATCCACTCAGAGGCATATGGGAGTGCGTGGGGACTTAGAGACCTGGGAATACTAATAACACCTATAGGCCTTGTACGTAGGATATCAGAAAACTACCAAGCTAGCTACAGGGGCGAGGTGCGACTAAATACATAAGGGAATAGGGGTAACAGCAGGGGGCCGGGCAGAGTCGAGTCAGGGTCGAGCCAGGGTCGGAGCCGATACAGAGACCCTTTAGATAGGTTCCAGGCAACCTGAGATGGAACGATTCATGAGAATTGTTACACTAATAGACTCCTAGTTTTAAGATTTTAATCCTGCTAAGCACTAATCCTACTTTACTAGTACAGAGACAGGCTAGACAAATAACTAAGTAGTAATTAAGTAAGTAAAGAAAGTCTTTAATTAAGAAACTAAGGCTAAAGCTTACTATAGTAAGGACTAGAAGCTTTTAATACTTAATAGCTATAGCTTACATGTTACTCTAGGCTTCCTAGAGTACTGTATAAAGCATAGAATCCTTATTAATGTACTCCCTCTACATACTACTTATTAAACGTAACCTTTAGATTAGGCTCTATTTAGCCTACTTTAAAGCAACTACTTAATAGAGCTTAGTAAGCATATGCACTAAACTTAGGGTTTTTTAGCTCTTACTAAACATAATTTTTATAAGCTGTTTTACACTGCATAGGTTAAAACTTTTACAGAAAAGAACATTCTATTAGGATTTAAGCAGTGTAGTATTTACTCTCTTAATAAAAGTGCTATGCTTAATAGCTTTAAAATAAGGCCTTTAAAATAACTATCTTAGCTCTAGAGCAGTAGCTCTACTAGCTTAAAGCTTTTACTAAAAAATAAAAAGTAAATTTATTAACTTTTTAGCTTAGAAATTAGTACTACTACTATTAATAGCTAATTACTTAGCAACATAATTTTCTACTTTTTAGATACAGCTATTTTTTTAAAAGATAAGGTAGCTAATCTTAGAGCAACAGTAGTAGTAGAAAAGAAGAAGAGAAAGTATAGTAAGAACCTTACAGAGCTTCTATGTGCTAAGGATAAACATAATTAACTATTCTTTAGCCCTGCTAAGGTAGCACAGGCTAGAAAGCTTTAATAATAAAAAAAAACAAAAAATAAGCTAAGCTTAATTATAAAGTAGCTAAGAAGCTTAAGCAACAGCAGAAAAAAAATAGTAAAAAGGCTATAAAGTAATTAAAAAAGAAGACTTATAAAAATAATAAGTGTATAAAGAATGTTAAAGTAGCTATAAAAGCTCTACTTTATAAAGAAGAAAAGGTAGCTTAACAGCTTAAGCTACAGCTCTAAAACAATACTTAGTTTACTAAGAAGACCTAAAAGGAGCGTACTGTTAAGAAAACTACTACACAACAAGAGATAGTTAAGTACTATAAGGTAGTAGATAATAAGAAAGGTGTTGTAGGGCTATCTTAGCCTTAGAGGCAACAGTGTTAGCTAGCTTACTTAAAAGACTTTAAGATATATAAGGATTTATAGCCCTGCTTATAACAATTACTACACTTAAAAATTAACTAAGATATAATTTATATAGAGCTCTAAAGCTTTATTTTTAGGTGATAAGTGGCACAGAGATTTCCGTTGCACGAGCCACTCGGTTGCGTAAGCAGGTGAGACCTTCTACCAGTCCTAGAATTCCTCTGCACATCTGTTAGTATAGCTAGATATTTTAGATGCTGTTAAAACAATGGAAGGTTGTATGATAGTTTGTAAAATAGGCTTCGGGCTTCTAGTCATTTCACTTGCACAATCGTAGTGTGCTGAAGAAACATGTCCGAGTCCTTTCTCATTACGGAGATCGATGGAGGTCAACGGCCGTAAGCGGGAGTAAGGGCGGGCGGCCTTCGGCATTTTCTCTTATATCCGAAAGCCGAAAAGTGAACTTCCCACGCGGATGTAAGGGCCTTCACTCGGTCGCTGGAAAAATGGCCTTCATACCTAGTGATACGGCCGAGGGACTTCACTACCTTCATGGAGCGACAACCCCGACGACGTCGAAGACCAGCCCTGTCATGCCTGGAATGTCGACGGCGCAAGATCAAGTGCGACCGAAACGAGCCTTGTGCACATTGTGTCTCCGCCAAGATTCAATGTACCTTCAAGGTGTACAGTGATGGGCCCGTCATCCAGCAGCAACCCCAACAAGGCAGTTCATGGGGTTCAAATTTAAGCCCGTCGCCCTGCGCGCCCTCGCCTTCGGCTCCAACCCGCCCAATTACAGAGTATAGTAACCACCTATATTTTCCTAGGGTCGCTGTGGCAACAGACGCAGCTGGACAGAGTGACAGTCCGAATACCTTTGGCCGCAACGACATCCGATCACGCGACCGTGCTCTGGACACAGAACCAGATCTCCGGGATGTTTTGCGGCGGATACAGAAGCTCGAGGAGTCTTCAGCATCTGGTCCTATCCGTGTGCTGTCCGAAAATGGCCGGGACATACTCGCGCGCCAGTCCGGGCTCCAAAACTCGCAAATAGTCCTGAACAAAACGAGGATCTTGAGATGGAGCCACTGGATGGGCACGGCTCAAGAGGTACGTACAGTGGGTATTCATCTGCACCGCGTAGCCTTCCACTGATCACCTCGCAAGTTCGCAACCGTCTATGATTGCTATTCTGAGGCCAGCGGCAATGGAACGGGAGCCTCATTTCAAGGCGCTGAAACTAGAGCTCTGCTTACTCAGATGGGTAATCTCCTCCAAGAATGCAAAAGTATAGCAAGAAGTATTAAGGTAGGGCGGCCAAGGGGATGTCTCTCGTGTCCTGACGTCGGCCTTGCGCTCCCCTCCCGCGAGGTAGCCGATACTATGGTAGCCCTGTACTTCCGATCCTATGAGTCGACACACCGGATACTCCATGTACCTACTTTCTGGGCCGAATACCAGAAATATTGGAACCATCCGGAAAGCGTCACAACTGACTTACGACTCAGGATCCTTCTTGTCATTGGGATAGGTTCAAGCCTATACGAGCATGGAGACACGGATGCCGCATTTCGCAACATGGTTCATCAATGGGTACATGCTGCTCAGACATGGCTTTCTGGGCCATTAAAGAAAGACCGCTTAGACATCCCCGGGGTACAAATTTACTGTCTAACCATCCTAGCGCGACAGATCTTCTCAATCGGTGGAGACCTAGTGTGGATGTCGATGGGATCACTCATTCATAGAGCCATTCAAATAGGCTTGCACCGTGACCCTAAATATCTCCCAGCAATGCCCGTGTTGCAAACCGAACTCCGCAGGAGGCTGTGGGCCACCATTCTCGAAATGGTTGTTCAGTCGTCTTTAGACTCAGCGATGCCGCCCAGAATCTCCTTCGACGAATTTGATACCGAGCCGCCTTCCAACAACAACGACGATGAGATGGACGAGTCGACTACCGCGTTACAGCCTCACCCCAAGGGTACCTACACCACAACCTCGATGCAGCTTATTCTACTGGACTCTTTACCCGCCCGTCTCCGGATCCTCCAGCTTTTGAATGGATTACACTCTGAACTTTCTTATCTGGATGTCCTTGCCCTTGACTCAGAGATCACCAACGCATATCGATCATGTAGTAGTTTCATGCAGGAGAACGAGGAATCTGGTGTAACACCATTTCACCGGAATCTACTTCACTACCTAGTGCGTCGTTTCATGATCCCTCTACACTGCCCATTCGCTTGCCAAGCGCGGACGAACCCATTATTCTACTACTCACTCAAGGTTAGTCTGGACACTGCCATGGCCATCATTTCACCCGAGCTAGACGAGACTTTCTCCCATCTTATGGCTATCGGCGGAGGAATGTTCAGGGAGGGCATCAGGTACGCATTAGCCGTTCTCAGCATCGAGTTTATCGCCCGGGTCGAGGCCCAGCGCCTCGACGGGACGCTGCACAGTAACTCTCAATACAAAGATCTCCTCAAGCAAGCCATGAAGGATATGATTCTGTTATCCTCAGAGAGGATCCGGCAAGGCGAGACCAATATCAAGGGCCACATGTTCCTGAGTATGCTTATGGCCCAGGCCGAGGCTATAGAGGAAGGCACTTCTTGCGAACTTAAGATCGCACAGAGTGCAGTAGATAGCCTTGGGTTCTGTCGTGATCTGCTACAGACACGGGCTAGCACTGCCTCGTTGCCTTCTCTCAACGATGCGGGCCTCGCATCAGCAAGTCCTGATGATGGGCAAGAATGCTATGGGTTGGATTTGGACTTTGGGTTTTTCTTGCCAGATGCAGGCTTTGACTAGTATACTGAGCTACCTAGATATCGACTTGCTCAATTACTGTTCTGTAATATAATGCGCCTAGCTCACCCCTCACCCCTTTTATTCGCCATTGGCGTGCGATTTAGATGAAATAAGACGCACTTAAGACCCTACAAGGGCAGCAATCCACAGCAGAATTTATCCTCATCTTTCAAGACCTGTCAGGAGGCCTTGGAGGGACGATGCACGTGACCATCTAAAATGCGTTACCCCTCGGCCTGCCACTCGTAAAGAATGCCTAGGGTATGAAGGCCTTGGCCTTGAAAATACAGAAAGCCTCTACATTATCAACCTGCGGCTTATCCCACTACTACTGCCCTTATCTTCCAGTACCACGAGTCCTGAAGGTCGTATTGAATGCTCTCACCTCATCTGTAAGAGCTGTCGTTTACGTTTCTCCAAAGATTACATACCGTTTGGTCTTAGAGGTCCTGATTTGTGACTTCATTTGGGTTCTATTGTATCTGCTAGCTAGTGGAGTGTCTTAGTGCAGCTCTCATTCCTCCAAGGGCGGCGTTAGCAATCCCCCTGCACCACATGATATACGACCTTCTCCATCCTTATTCCCCAATAGAAAGCGGAGAACCATCTCGCCGGCATGTTCAGCATCATTATCTCTCCATCGATGGCCCTAAAGATGTTCTGCAACACCTCTGGTTGCTAAGACGCACCGAAGATTCTCAACGTCTCCGTATTCACGAATCGTTTAAACTCAAAATAGCATTGAAATGTGAGCACCCGGCTGGGCTGATATAATCCCTAAACGGCGCAATGCTGTGTAATGCCCATTCTGATTCACGAATCCGGCAGTGCATTGGGTGATGGCAATCTAACATGGTCGGCATGCACAAACTGCAGTCGAAGCTTCTGTTCTCGAGCAGAAATCCTATTTCTTCTCCCTCTCAGTCTCACCCAGAACTCATCCGTAACCACTATCTCACGGACTCCTAACTCCCATCCACTCGGGTCCTTCTCAACCCGCACACCGTACCTCCGGAATAGAACTCTGGCAAATCAACTGATGGCTGAAGCAGCTCCAAATATCTTAATCTGCGGAGAGTTTTGAAATAGATCTAAGATGTAATTTTCGAGTCGATGTATCCATTCCACGTCGTCGTAAGCCGAGGCTGCTGAGCCGGTGATAAGGATGACGTCGATTCCAGGCAGGGAAGGGTATTCGCCCTGGACAATATCGAAGTTGGTTGATTCAATCTCAAAATTACGTGCGATTCTACCGACAGCAGTGCTTAGAAGGTTGTGGAATATATCGCCATATGAGACTAGTTTGGCACGCACACTTGGGACGGGAATATCTGCGTTGAGCATCGCTATCCGGACCCTTTGCAGCGACATGATGGGGAAAGGCTTTAAGATTCTGTACTGTTGAGCGTAGGAAACTGGCCTGTCTTTTGCTTTCACGTTCTGAAAAGTCCCTATGTATGTGTTAGTGATGTGGAGATGCCCATGCATTCACTTACCGCTTTAGGAAAAGTACATCGTGTGAGGAGATAAGATTATCTCAGCTAGCTCAGCCGGGGTGATGAGAGAACCGAGGACGCTACTCTAAACAGAGTATAGCCTGGGGGTTAGCAGTTTCTAGCCTCTGTAGCTAGCGTTTCTCTTATTTAAGCTTTTAAATTAGTATATTACTTTAACATACTCTATAGGCAAGTTACTTACACACCTAAGTTTCTTGCTTTTACTAAGACCTTACTAAACTACTTTTTTTACACTAATGCATTTCTAACAACACTACTTAGACATAGTAAAAGAATATTAGATCAGCTTACACTCTAAGCTTTTACATAAAATGTAACACTTCTAAAATAACATGCTATAGCTATATATATAAAGTTTTTTAAAAAATGATAAATAACTAATATACTAAATAACTTTTATAAGCTAATTTTATAGCTAACTTATAAAAGCTAAAAAATAATAAAAAGTAAGTAATTATTGTAACAATTCTTACAAATTGTTCCATCTTAGATCGCTTAGAACCTATCTAAAGGGTCTCTGTATCAGCTCTAACTATAACTTAACCCTGTCCTCTATAGTTACCTCTATTCCTTTAAATATTTAGTTGCACCTTTTCTTTTAGCTAGCGTAGTAGTTTTCTAATATTCTTTATATAAAGCCTATAGGTGTTAATAGAATTCCTAGATTATTAAGTCCCTACACACTTCTATATGCCTCTTAGTAGATTTCTACTGCATTTAGACTTATTATCTTGCCTATGCTATTATATTATATTAGAAAACTTACTTTTGCTAGTAATAGCTTTATTAATAATTGTCGCGTATACTAAGAGCCTTGGCTGGGGCTCAGAGCCTGGGACTGGGGGCTCAGAGCCTGGGACGCAGCTCGGGATCTGGAGATATTATGTTCCGAAGCTCGGTGTATATAAGGAGAGCCTTTAGCTCTCTTAGATAGCAGAGTCACTTCATCCGATCTTCTGAACAGCTACTGCCAGGCTATTTTATCCTCCACAATAATATTATATTAATTATTTATATAACTATATTTAACTTTAAAAAGTGTTTAATTTAGTTTAAGTTATAATTTTTATACACTATTATATTAAATTATTTAGTTATTATTAATAAGATTTTAAAAACTGTTTATTAACTAAAGCTTTTAAGTTTAGAACTTTTTATTTTTTTATAATTAAAATTACTTTTAAAAAAGTTATAAAAAGTATGCTAAAGTAAAAACTTAAAAACTACTAATAACTTAATAGAATTAAAGATAACTACTAATGCTTAACTTTTAACTACTTTTAAACCTTAGTATAAAGGTTATAACATACTCTAGCTATAGCAAAAGTAAGATGCTTACTACTAAAGCTAAATAACTATTAACTTTAATAGCTAACCTTTTTTTTTTATAAGACTTAAAGCTAAAAACCTACTAAATTTAAAGTTAAACTATAGTAACATAGCTTTTAAAAACTAAGTTACTTAATTAAAAGAATAAATTAAATAGCTAACTAAATTAAAAACTATTAGTTTTAATTAACTTTTACTAACTACTAAATTACTTTTAATAATGCTTTAAATTACTTTTACTATACTAATAGTAAAAAACTTTTTAAGCACTTTTAAGCTTTTTTAAAGCTACTTTACTAAATATACACTTAAGATTAAAAACTTTATAAATAGTAAAAAACTTATATTTAAATAATAGTAAGCTTTTATTATAGATAGACTTAATATTAATTTAAATTACTATTAGAGTAAGCGTGCACACATAGCGTTAGTATAGAGACACACTGCTAGTATTACAAAGAAATACTTAGAGCCTAGATACCTATCTAAATTAGACAACTTTTAGTTTAAAAATATAAAAAAAATAATTAAGCTTTTATAAACTTACTTTATTACTAGTAATAATAAAATAAAAGTATAATAAGTGTTTTAAACTTTAAAAATAAGTAAAAAAAAAAAAGCATTTTTTACTTTTAAAGCTTACTTTATTAGTGCTACTATTAAAAAGTTTATATTAAAGTTAAAATAGTTTTTCTACTTATAAAAAAAATACTACTTAGCTTAAAAGTACTAAACTTAGGTTTTAAACATACTTAAAAAAGCTTTTTTAAGATAATAGAAGCTTACTTAATAGCCTATAATAATAAAAAAACACTTTTACTATTTTAAAGTAAACTATTGTTACAATTTAAGCAAAATCATAAGCAAGTGTTAGACAATAGAGGTGAAGCTTACACAGGATTAGTGGCTAGCCTTAGGCAGCCTTCTGATAACGAGCACAGACGGTAAACAAGACGGTTAGGCGACAACATCCTAGTTTAGACTAGTTAACTGTAGTGACCGCAACAACCGCAGACAGTAGTCTGCAGGCACTGTAGGCACTGCAGGCAGAACTTAAAGTATATAGTCTTAGCTATAACTAGGCTTAAAAGGTTATAATTAAGGTTTAGTTTTATCTTTGCTATAAGACTAAGTAACTAGAATAACTTTTAAAGATTATTCTTGTTTTATATACTTGCGCACATATATACTCTAATTATTATCTTATATAGAGATTGTTCCTGCCTGCTTCTTATACAGCGTATAAGGGATAAACTACAACTAGCCTAATCCTCTTTATAAGCCCTATAGGTTAAATTAGGGATAGTACACCCTAGACAAGACCTATATTCTATCTAAATCCTCTCTTATTTTATCCTTAGCCTACGTACTTACACCGCGTCCTAATTAGCATGTGGCTAGTAAGTAGAAATTATAACATTAATTACTAATTCTTTAAGAAGTATAACCCCTTCTAACCTAATCTAGGCAACAGAGAAGGCACCTATTAGTAGTGCTACTAACCTAACACTAAATAAACTAGAACTCTTAAAATAACTATAAGCACTCTAGGTCTAAGTTACAACTCTATAAAATAAATAAAATAAAGAAAATAACATCTTAGTAAAAAAGTTACTACAACTTTTACTTTTTAAACTATTTAAAGAAGACTTATAAGATCTTAGACTCTTCTTTATATAATGCTACTTATATATAAATTACAACCTAGGAGCCTTTAAAACTAACTATAAAATAATTTAATAGATAGAACTACTTCTAGATAGGCACCTAGCTATATAGTTCTAACTTTACATAGACTATTAGAGAAATTACTAAGTGTATAGACAAGAACTTTTAGAAGAAACATAAAAAATATTTATAACTATATAGTTATTTAAAGAAGCCTTAACAGCCCTTTATAGTTTTACTAATAAAAAAGAAATAGCTATAGATAAAATAAACAACTTACACTAAAGAAAAAGCATATTCTAAACTTATATAGCTAGGTTTAGGGAATATTAAGCCTAGTGTAGATAGACAGACTAGAAAGTGTTGTATAAAATGTTTTATAAGAGACTAAAAAACGCAGTAAAGAACAAATTCTTTTATATAAATAAGCTAGAATAACTAGTTAAATTTATTAAAGCTGCAACTAAATATAACGACTACCTTTTAAAAAACACTAAAATAAGCTATAAAAAACATTATTTATTACTAAATAAAAAGAAAAACTAGCTTAGTATAAAAAACTAATAAACCTTAGTAAAATTAAACTTATAAAAAAAAACTAAAGAAACAACAACCTTGATAAAAAAAAAAGAAATGTTATAAGAAGAAGGCTTACTTAGACTATAGTAAACTAGGTTACTTTAGAAACAGATACCTAGATTTAAAAAAAGAGAATAGTAAAAGCACTTTAGCTACTATAAAAGTCTTAAATATAAAAACAGGCTTAACTTTAAAGAACATTAAAAACTAACTTAACTATAAAATTTGCTAGAAATGCAGAGGAAATTGCAAATTAAAACAATGTCTATAAGAATACTAGAAAGTAGAGGTCTGTAATAGCTAAGAATTATACTAAGCCTTAACATAAGCTACAGTCTATAAAGGATATAGAATAATAGCCTAAACTATAGAATATATTAAAAACATGTTAAAAGAAAAGAAAAAGTTCTTCTTTAATAACTAAACATATAAGACTCTAGCTTAAGAACTAGCACAGAGATTCTTATAAGAAACCTGCTAGATATACTTAGAAGAATATAATCTAAGAAACTGTAGTGTCCCTTACTTTTAGGCAACAGTAGGAAACAACATAGAAACATATACTATTATTTTTATAATATCTAGAGTCTAATATAACCTATTAATAAAAAAGAATAGTAAAAGGGTTTTTTTTTAAATATAGTATATTAAAACTAAAAATTTAAATATATATCTAACTAATTTAAAGTCCTACAACTAAGCTAGAAATAGGTAAATACTTTATTACTAACTATAGCAATTCTCTAAAAACAGTTACTCTTATAAAATAATAAAAAATGCATCTTCTATAAAAGTAAGCGCTACTTAGAAAATAACTGCTAATATAAAGAATATCCCTTATTGTCTGTACGCAGCAGCAGCGTCACGGTCTGGATACAAGCGATCGCGCACGAGCAGGACCACGTATCTATGTCACATAATGCTCGTGCGCGAACCTCTGTGCGCGAACATCTAGATATCCCCCTTTTCCTCTGTACAGAGGAAAGACAAGAGCAATAGAACTAGAAACATGTTGCTCTCACCTTACCTACCTTATACGCTGTGCACACTGTACACTACTCTTACTCTTGCTACTTAAGCGCTTATACTATAAGCAGCTAGCTGTTAGAGCCTATTTAACACTTATTAATAATAAGAACTTAAAAATATCTATAATAAACATAACAACAACTAATAGTAGTAAGAACTAATAGCATAGAATGCATAGTAAAATAGTATTTATGTACTAATAAATATTACTAAAGCTATTAGACTACAAAGCATTAAGCTAGATAGTAG